ACTGATGCATCTATAATACCTATTATTCCATAGAATGACTCTTTCACCATCACATACCTTTTCAATATTTAATGAATTAATATTATTTACAGCCAGTGTATTGTTAGGGTAAATTTACCCAGAGGAAAAAAAAAAGCAAGATACACTATTATTTTAAGTTTTGCATACCGTAGAAAAAGTTTAAAAACCCTACCAGGTTGTCTTTTGTTGTCACTCGCCTGCTAAAGGGGTATTTCCTACATTTCCTGTCCTGGAAATGCAACTGAAAGAGAAAAACTACCTAAAGCAAGGGTAATTCACATCATAGACAGTTATTACCAGAACATACACCCCTATTAGATTATTTCCCTCACCTCTTGCTCTGGTGACACTAAAATTGTGGACTTTCATCAGTCTCAGTGACAACGGTCACCAGGGAAACTAGAGGGGGACACAGACAGCAATGAAAACTTAACAAGTGGTCTAACCCCTTACTGCTTTATTCAAAACTAAAAAAAGGTTTTGACTTTACATACACTTTAATCTTTTTTGGGCATAGTCTTGACTTGGTTGTGCAGAGAAAGGGCTAAAAGCAAAAAAGTCTAGCTAGCATTTCTCGAGTTCCGATTATTGAGGTTTATGTCTCTGGGAGATTTTCCCTCACTATCTGTACCAGGTGGCACCAGTCAGAAGGACAGGAAGTGAAAGGAAATGTTGTATTTATTTAACAAAATATTTTTTCTAACTTCCTTGATCAGGTTTTGCACCACTCTGTTCATAAATATAGGCTCGGGCACTTGAGTACTTTATAGTCAAGGTTCCTTCACGCTTCTTGCAATCCAACAGCCAAAACAGACACAGTTCAGAGCTAAACCACACAGAGAATAACATTATCTCATCCATACACAAATTCTCAGTCCTCACTAATCTTGGGCTGAGCGGGGCGATGCAAAGTGTTGGAGAAAAGAAATCTGCAGAACCTTTTTTTATGATGACTCCATGTCCAGCCCAAACACTGCAACAGGTTGGGGCGATGCAAAACCATGGCCATTCATTTTTCACTCTTCAGAACCGGAGCATTTAGAGAAAACCTGGTGAGAATGCCTGTCCAATGCTCCCGTTTAATGTTCTTGTAAACACTCCTTTAAAATGTTATTTACCAAGAAAGTTAAAAAAAATATTGTGTTATTCTAATATTGTAGATCCTTAAAAAAAAAAAAAAAAACCTTAGTGAGGAGCCTTCTATATTATCTTCAGTGGTAAAAGGTTTATCTTGTCATCAATAGCAGCCAGAATAATTGACTGTATCAATTCTTTCACTAATGAACTAAGCAGATACTATTTTTAATAAGAAAGACATCCAATGCATATTTATATTCTCTTACAGAGAATATAAGAAAGGATTGTCCTTGAACGGAGAGAGTCCAGAGAAGGTCAACAAAACTGATGAAAGGGGCTGGAGGACCAACGCTATGAAGAAAGATTGCAAAATGTAAACTTGTTCACTCTAGAAATGAGGTGATTAGGAGGAAAAAAAGGTTTAACCACAAAGGGTGAAGGCAATTATTTTCTGTTTGAGCAGTAAAGTTGTGGAACTCCCTTTCACAAGCAGCGATATCAGCAGAGAGTATTGAACCATTCAAGAATCAATTAGATACTTTCCTCAGAGAACAGAACATAGAGGAGTACAGGCACTCTTAATGTATGGAATACACAGACACTCAAAACCACACACATGCTCACGTAGGATGAACTTGATGCACCAGTGTCTTTATTCAACCTCAAATAATATACTGCTGTCCCCTTCCATCTTCTTTGCCAGATAATTCCAAATGCTGACACCTCCTACTGTGCCACTGGAATAAATATATTTGCAAATCACTGATACAGAAAGGTCAATATTACAAACATTGTATAAAAATGTATAATTGTGTACTTACATAGTGGGAGTGTACTATACAAAGGAATATAGAAAGAGACATTTTTGTAAAAAAAATTCTGTTTAATATACTTTAGGTTCAATATTTTACAAACAAAAAGTTCAACTCACAAGCTGCTTAATGCTCCATATTTACAATAGAAAGTGTTATCAGGAGATGTAATCAGTGGATCAGAAATATTTTCTGATTGCCTAAGAAGTTTTACACTTCTCTAGACAGATAGTAGACAATTTGTTAGCATGGACCTCTCATTATTGTTGGGCAGCGGTATCCCTTTGGAAAGTGGCTATGAAACCACCACCAGAGAAATTTCTCGACTTTCTTTGACGTAACTAGCAAGAGTAGCCGATAGCTTTAAAAGGAAGAGGCTTCCAATCCCGGCTGTGTTACATCAAAGAAAGGCAAGGAGTAGAGTCATCACGGCTACACAGTTGTGCTGGTAATTTCGCTTGTCAGCAGATCTCCACCAATCGACAAGGAAGGGAGGGATCTGTGCAATTTATTGCTTGAATGAAAAAACCTCTTAATGAACAACAGTGAGAAAAAAAAATTGTAAAAGTGCAAATGTTCACAGCTTATTAAAATAAAAATCAAACAGTAGAAGCAAGTAGTACATAATAGTAAAACAAACCATTGTACACAATTTACAAAAGGCTGCCTACACAGGATTTTTCAAGGAAGTTACAGGTTTACAAAAAATACTATGATGTCATTTATTATTATTTATATACAAATATATACAAAAAGGAATATTTTCATTATAACAGAAATAAAATCGCTTTTAGTATGAAATCAAAACTCTTTCAATAGTAAAAGAGATTATAGAAACCACTTGTTGCATTCCTTTCCTGTTTAACATTTGGCCATGTTCAAAAGCAGCATAAAAAGCAATGAGGTATTACAAAGCGTATCAGCTTCTGGCAACCAATCAGATTTCACCTTACTGGAGTCAGATAAGTTAAAGATAAATTCTGGTTGGTTGCTACAGGTAGCTGCACTTTATGTTATTAATCTGATAAGTTACACTACAAAACAGTCTAAGGCAATGGCTACACAACCATCAGGGATTCATACATTTCTTCTGCCACCACAACGGAGGGATTATGGTGATATGATTTTGAGGATTTAAGAAAATAAGTATGTCATTGACCAAACATGAATATATTTAGGTGTGGTGTTCATGTATCAGGGGAGAGGTTCAGAGTGAGCTCAAACCGTGAAGATTTGTAATGTTCTAGGAAACATTTACAATTACATGGTAATTATACCTAAAGAATACCCCAATAATGTACCTTTTGTTTTGATTTTTTTCTGAGAAAAGCAGTGTGTTTCCTGGTATGCGAGTGTGCCAGGTACTCCTGTGCCTACAGCCCCATAGCTGTATATCTGCAGTGTGAGATCTAGGGCACTGTGTCTGTAATGGCTAGTGTCATGAGACTTAAAGTGACATTTGGTGATGTCTGTACTGTGCTGATCATAGTTCTCCTTGCTGGAGGCTCTGACATGAGGAAGCAAAACCCTGCCTCTACCAAGATGTCCCCCTCCATACAGAGACACAGTGCAAGGCATGGTAAGTCAGTAATAGAGAAGGATCAGTTATAGGGAGACCAAAAGCAATACTGGTGACTATTTCTGTGCCCCCTGTCTGCCTTTTTTTGGGCACAGCTTCCAGAGTTCAGTTCCCCTCTAATGTTATTCTTATTTTAGCTGTCTCTCTTATCAGCATCAGAAATCTTTGCATTAAGCTACATATTTCCTATTTGTAAAATACTTCACATCAATATCTCAATCCCAACTAATTCCCATTAAACCAGGTCTGACAAGTTTCAGAAAAAGGCATAATGGAGTCCATGGCAAGCATGATACTATCTAGGAACTGAACATGTCCACTGTACTAAAGTTTGTATTTTTTTTTTTTTTAATTGTAACTGACTTTACAGAATACATCTAATTTACTATAACTTTGTTATTAAGGTTAGAATTCCGAACATGAAAGGACATTCCTAATTTTATTCTCTCAAACTAAATTATTGCATGTTGTAAACAACATTTCAGCTTTCCTAAGTAAAAAGTGTCTGCTGGTCAGATGGTATTGCAGTAAATAAGCAATGAAGGAGGAATAAAAGTCACAGCTGGAATGTTTCAAATTTTGCTTGATGCTTGATGGCTGGGTTCTGCGGGAGACAAGAGGATGTATATACAGACACAGTTTGAAATGAACTGCAAAAAGCCAATAACATTGATTTTAGTATAATACGTTTGCCAAATGAGTACTTAAATGTGGATTTCAAGTGTCTCAAAATGGGATTATTTTAAAATGACTCAAAACTCTTCCATCATTTGGCCTTTTTTTTTTTTTAAAGGGATTTTTAAATGGACCTGAAAAGCTTAATTTTACAACTATTGCTTCCTAAACATCTGCTTTCCTCCTTCAAATACGCTGGAAAAAAAAAAACAAAAGAAAAATAAAGGAAACCCCAAAATATATATTAATAGGTCATTCTAAGCACTTTTAAATCAATGATAAAATAAACAAGATTTAAAACATTGATTTCCTGTAAAATATTGATGCCACGGTGAAGTCTTCATATTTTCTATAAAAAACAAAAACTAGACGTGACTTGCACTGCATCCTATAAAAAAATAATTGCTGGTACAGCCCACATGGAAATGTTAAGCTGAACACCTTAGACTTACTGTATAACACAGCCAAAAGCTGTTACAAAACTCAGAATCTATATCAAGAACGTATACTCTAACTTACAAAGAAAATGGACCAGCCACTTTCCAAATAAGAAACAAACTCAATTTCCATTATATAACACTAGGGGAGACAAAATAAACCAAGCATTTTTGTAACATGATATTCTACCAGTAGAGTTGCATATAAAATCAAAATCTAGTATAATAGCATATTTATATGTGTGTGTATGTAAACATGAATGTGTATGTACATGCAGCTGTATATCTCTGCAGCCATTTAGCATGTACCTTGTGTGTGCATTTTATCTAGCAGAACATTACAGAAGCTAGGGGTCAACAAGTGCAATCATCTTTACTTCAACATACTACATAAAACAATTGCATCCCTGACTCTTGATTTGCATCCAGATGAGGCTCTGATCTTCAAGAGTCACTGAAGTATCAACACAAATTACTGTAATTGCAAATTACATTGTCAGAAGTACCTGAGTAGAAATTCAGATTATAGTACACGCTGGTCAGCATTTCAAACATATAGCACCAGAATAATATTTACATTTGCAGCATGGTAAAGTGGAATGGCACTCCACCATGAAGAGGAGTTTGAACGTAACATTACGACTGTTCCATAAGTGTGTCTATAAGTCCGATACACAATAATGAGATGAGTCTGGTCATCGGAAGACATTGGCTATGCCACACTGCCATTCCCCTGATGATTCCTGAACGACTTCTTCCAAGTCAAGAGTTTGGGTGATGTCTTCCCCTCCTTCCTCTTCCTCTGGGTGCAATGAAACTTCTTCAATAAGATCTATAATGTGATAATGCAGTCAATGACAACAATAAATACACAAATGCAAGGAACGGTTTGTAAATAATTAAGACCAGCTCTCTCTTGGCTTGCAGAAAGAGACCAGAGTGCTTAGACTGGAGTCACCCCCTACCTTTTACTGGTTGTTAGGATGCTTTAAACTACACAGGGTCACTAGTTGCTGAGAGGCTGTTGGCTGTGTAGCTGACAGCCTCCTAGCAACCAATGACACTGTGTATCTGACAGCATCATAACAACCAATGGCGCCAGGCTGAAAATTGACAGTGGACGGAACCTGTTTGGTGTTTAGAGACTACTTCACCCTCAAGTCTGCCTTCCTCATGATTGACAACAAACAGCAGTGAGTGGACCTGATGGAGAACTTATTCCTCAGCTCCCCCATCAAGTTCTGTCCACTGTCAAACTAAGGGGAGGCGTAGCGATTGGGGAACTAGTGTTTCAACATCAGGCTCCACCCACCCAACAGCTTAACTTCTTGGGTGCTGCATCAATCTGTGTGATAGAAGCAGTGGCGGGGCAGGGATCTCAGTTTTTTTGAGCCTGTCAGTTTATCAGGCGAGTGTTCTGAGCTGCACTGAGGACACAGTGTTTGGTATAGATACTTCAGCTGCGACCACCACGCCTCCATGTGACAAAATGCATGCACCAACATTTGTTGTGCAGAGAGTGTTTACAACACTCTTTGTGAATTCAAGAGATTTTATTTCACAATCACATCTCCCATTGCTGAGCCTTATTAATCAAGGTATTAATAATAACTCTGTAGGCTCACGAGAACCAGTTCCTGAATCTGGTTTTTATGAAAGAAGCTGCAATAAATGAAATGCCATGTTGCTAAATGATTCATCCAGGTTTGATACTTATTTCTAGTTCCCAAGAGCTCACGTTCAGTAGAATAATAATACTAATATTTCTATGTGCTTTAGCCTTTGCATTGTCAGTTAGGATTCAGTGAGCACCAAAAACTATTTACTTTGCTTAGGCAGCATACAGCAGGACATCTCACTATGGTTAACAAAAGGCTAAACCTACCAGGGTAAGAATGGGTCCGCTTCATGTGTAGCTTCATATTGCATTTCTGAGAGAAGGTCATCGAACAGTAATCGCATTTGTATGGTTTTTCTCCGGTGTGTTTTTTCATGTGCACCTGCAGTGCACTCTTCTGGTTGAAAGCTTTCTCGCATAGTGTGCACTGAAATGGTCGTTCACCTGTGAACAGAGATAATCATAGCGTAGCTATAATAAAATGTGCAGGAATATTGCAGGAGACAGCTTTAAAATTGAGATTCAGTTTACATAATTTTCACAACTGTAAAAGAAAACCAGGTATACTCGAATTAAAGCAAAGCTCCGGAAAACATTTAGGGCCTGTGTACATTGGTTTTTTTTATCATGTCAGAACCGCTTTTTAAAATGTGCAAAAATTAGGGCTGACCTAGTGATCACATGATCATAAACCACCATAAATGGTCAGTCACTGACAGTCAGGATAAAGAGTTAGCAGCTGCATGAAGTGATGCTCTTACAGGGTAGACATTTATTAACATATCCTTGCTGAATATTTAGCACAAGAAAATTTCCCTGTGATATGAATACAATTATTGGCATGATAGCATTGCTATCATGCCAATAAGTGTTTGGAGTTTGGGGTCAGATTCACTTTAATGTTAGGTTTAGAGGTGCCTTTGGCACAAGAGGTTACATCACTACACTGCCTACCAATAAAAGAAAGTACTTTCCTACTGACCACCAATATAAGAGGGTACTACAATGTGTACGGTCTGTGTTTCTTTTCTGGGCATTATTATTTGTTTCATCTCATGCTTATTATTGAAAATAATTATGTTTTAATAGAGAAAGGGTGCTAAAAAAATGATTCGCCCTGGGTGTCAAGTACGCTAGGTATGCCACATCTTTTCAATGTAATTATATTTACAACCTACTGATTATGATAATATATCATGAGCTGTAGATGTAATAATTAAACAGAGGTTCAATAAACCATGCACATGAAAATTGTTTCAAGGGTTCCTCTCTGTTAGAAAGGCTGGTATAGAGTACCCTAGAGAAGCATATAAATACAGTGATGATGTAATTGGGTCTAAAATAAAATATTTGTTGAAAATCGAAAGGTGTTACATATAAACATGTGCTGTTGCTGTATACTGTGACATGTCAGGAATTTATTTCAAACAGACTTTTAAAGTTAACCACCTGCAGTCCGGCAGTTGTAATTAAAATGGCCGGACAGCGGTTTCTTGGATGCCGGTGGGCATTTTTAGTCGTCCCATCTCGCCCTGCTCGTGCTCGCCGCTTGGAATCAGCTTGGAATGTAAACAGCCAGCAGTGGTTGTTTACATAGAAGCGTTGGGACGTCTGTAGAGATGCCCGATCGCTTGTAATATGTGTGCGGTGTGCGGGCCCCCCCCTCTTCGTTGCTGCTTGTGATCCCGAGCTCCGCTGTGCCCAGTGTGAGCCCGGGACCAGCACAGCAGCTCTGCGACCGGAGATCAGTGCAGATCACCGTTTGATCTCCTCCTCCTCTTCGGAATGCAGGAAGAGATGTGTATTACATCACTTCCGCATTCCTCTCTCACTCTCCGGTACGGAAGCTGGTGAAGGTCTCTGCTTCATCAGCTTCTCTGAGTGTCCCTAGGTCACATTAGAGGTCTTAACAACCCTTGATGTCTCCATAAAGAGGACCTGTCACTGCAAACTGGCTATCACATAGGGGGCTTGTTAGTACCATATATGATAGCAATAAAGTTAAGTGAAAAAATAAAGGTTTAAAAAAATTAGTTGCAAAAAAAATTAAAAGTCACATATAAAAGCAATAAAAAAAAACAATTAAAGTCCCTGCCCCCCATATACATATGCAAACATGCGCTGAGTGCGAAAACGACGATTGCATCCATTGTGCCGCACATGTTACATATCGCTGTGAACGTCGCAGTGAGAGCAATAATTCTAAGGCCATTAATCACTGATAACATTAAACTGATGAGCGGTAAAAGCTTTTAAAGCATCGGCTATGGTAAATTTTGGGTATGATAGTTTTTTACCATTTAGCGGGTGCACACAATTTTAAAGTTTGCCATGTTTGGTGTCTATTTACCCGACGTGACCCCGTCTTTTATATTTTACCAAAAATTTAGGTAATAATAAATGTTTTATAACATAATGTAGGGAAAACAGGTTTTTGTTCAAAATCTTCTGTACTTTTTTCATTATATAGTAAAAAATAAAACCCCCCAGCGGTAATTAAATAACACCAAAAGAAAGCTCTATCTGTCCCCAAAAAATGGTATAAAATTAATTTCAGTACGGTAAAAATGTCAAAGTACTGCAGCGCTGGACACTGAAAAATGGCCTGGACAGGAAGGGAGTATAAACACCCCGGTCAGCAAGTGGTTAATGAAATATTCACTTAAAAAACAAGAAAATAAAAATGTCCATAAACAAATGAAAGCTTTGGCCGTTAAAGTTTAGCATCTCTAATAAAAAAGGTAAAACGATGCAAAGTTAGTATAACGGCATTGAATGTTAATTGGTTTCCTCAACTATAGTGACATTGTCTTAAAGTATAATCATTTCATCTTTTAATACAACACTTTTCTCCTTTGCCTTCTCAATTTCAGGCTATTTCAAGCTATTGCCTGTAGGTTTAAGTCTTTGCATGTACAACGTAAAATTGGTATAAAAGGTTATGAAAATTGGAGCAATTATGGGAGAATATGTTGCATCTCACAAACTATATCATGAAAAAAAACGACCTTTCTGCGCGTGCAGTAAACATTTTTTTTTCTACTTAATGACAATTATTAAGAAGATGAAAGCTCAAGGGAATTGTTAGGATATAAAGCTTGCACAATTATTCCGACAATTAAATTACAGGAAGGGGTTTTTAGAGGTTCTTATGGAACAGAAAAACTTAACTGCAGAACAAAACCATTGGGGAACGTTCCGCTTCAATATAGAAGCAAATTTATCCTAATTGCTCTGAAGATGAACTTTGTAATAATCCTCAAATCACCTGTCACAAGAACCACCAAATTACAGTCCATGATCCAAAGTCCAGGGACTAAATAAGGTAAGAAAAGTCTAAATGGAGGTGTCGGGTCCCGGTCCGAGTGGCTCCAGGTCGGGTGCCGGTCCGAGGGACGTACAATGTCCCAGTATGAGCCAGTGTGAGCGGACGCACACGGAGGGGACATCCCGGCAGTATCACTGGGCCGCGCAGGCGCAGACGCCCTGTGACCCGGCGGGATCCGCCCCGCACGGCGTGACGTCATTACACTGGCGTGCGCGGGTGACGTCATCACGGCAGCGCACGCGCAGTACACGCCTTCAGCCTATTTAAAGCCCCACAGGGCTTTAGATCATTGCTGTGTGATTTTCAGCCAGCACCAGTCGTCTGTTGATCTTGCTCCTGTTTGATACCTGTGACCTGGCTTCCTCCCTGACTATTCTCCTGGATTACCCTTCTGTACCTTGTTGCCTGCCTCCTACTGACCCGGCTTGCCTCTTGACTCTCCATTGGATTCCGCCTTGTACTTCGCTGCCCGCCTGTTACCAACCCGGCTTGTCTGACCTCTCTATTTGCCTTCTAGGATCCTGCACGGCTGCCTATCCTGCCTGCACACTACCTGTTGCTGACACCTGGTATCCTGATCCGGCACCCGTGCACCCCCTGCCTGACACACACTGTCTCCAACCCAGTGCTCATCAGACAGGGTTGCAAGGGAGGTCCTCCTCATCATCTCGGGCCCACACCGCGGACCTAACAGGAGGTCTAAACGTCTCTGCAAGGTCACCCCAAATTCCAATAGTAGAATCAATAACTATTCATGTCATATAAAGTATGTATACATGAGTTCTGGTAGCGGCTTCCACACAATGGTGCCACACACCTTTGAAAAAGCTCTTTTTGAGAGCAATGCCTGTTTATTTTTAGGCCATTTTCAGTTTTTAGTGCTGTGATACTCTGACTGACAATTGCTCCATCATGCAACACTACACCAAAATTAATTTTATATAATTTTGTTAGACAGACAGTGCTTTGTTTTTTGGTATTTCATAACATCTTCTTTTTTTTTTTGTATAAAACAGAAAAAAAGACCAACAAAAAAAGACTTGCTGCAGCCGTTGACACTGCATGCTGATTATTACAGGGCTGGAATGAGTAAATGCAACTGCAGTGCTGCTTTAAACTCCCTGGCGGTATTCCCGAGTGTGGCTCGGTGTTAAATTTTCATTACCAAAAGCGGTAACCCACCCACACTCGGGATTACACAGCGCGTTACTTACCTTGTCCGCGATCCCCGCTGTGTCCTCTGGCCGATGCCGGCATCCGTCCCTTGCGAGCGTCCGCGTTGCAGGAGGGCGGAACCAACGGGAAATTTAAAAGGAAAAAAACAAAATAGAAACAAAAAAGGAAAAAAAAGGAAATAATCAGACCGCCAGGGAGGTTAAAACAGGAATCAGGACTATGGTTAAGATCTGCACAACCTCACATGAATCCTCCTCAGGTATTAAAATACCTGTGTGAATGCGACTGTGTCTTTCAAGCTGACTTGGTTTAGCAAATCCTTTTTCACATATATCGCACTTAAATAATTTTGGCAATTGGGAGTTTCGTGAAGGTCCAGGCTGGTGCGTTTGCATGTGATCCTTTGAGGAAAAAAATACAAATTGAAATATTAAAACATTACCAGCTTAATCCACAATAAATAGAAATAAAGCGGAGACACAGAAATAAGACACATTTGGAATTACATTACCATAATTTGTTAACAAGAGCAGGCAAACCTTTGGATCTCTTGCTGGTTTGTTTTCCCAAGAGATACTTCATTTTTACTTCACAAAAAGGAAGAGAAAAAAGCAAAACAAACACACACACACATACAGCTTTTGCTTTATGAGCCATTGTCTACAGTAATTCATAGACAGAAAACCCATTTAGTTTTAGAATCATCTATATTTTATAGTATGGGATGGTATTTATGATTCATGCATACAAGTCTACAGAAAATATACACAAAAGAACAACAGGCCTTAGGTGAGACTGTTTGACCCCTCATACTGTGATGCATTTGATGATTACATTACAGGAATACATTTACTTCAACACAATATTCATTACAATTGTAATTTTAAACTACCCAGCCCTAATGACCCCCTCCCAATAAACTATTTATACCTCCTTGTACATACCACAAATCAGAGGGGTTTGGGTGTAGTTACAGTCTCCCTATAGGGTGAGCAGTAGACAGCTTTTCCATTAGGGCCTATTAAGGGGACCTACCAGCCCCCAAAACACATAAATCCTCTATGCATGCTCTATTTTAAATAAAGATTCTTTTTTCCACTTCCTGGAATTGACACTTGTGAGCGTAGCCAGATACATACAGCTGCCTGCTGGGAAGGCCACGTCATCAGTGCCTTCCCAGGGAACTCTCATAGGTGAACTGTGACAACTTTGAAGAAAAAAAGAACAAACTTTTTTTCTGAAATATTCAGAGCCCATGCATTCGTTTCTACACAGTTTTGGTGCTGGCGTCATCTGTGGGCCGACCGCAAAAACATGGGAAAAGAAGCTGGCCACCAATAACATCTAGTCATTGGTGGGGATGGACGGGGACAAGAAAAGAAGCAGCCCTGCTGGCATGGAACCTGCTACTCTGCTGGGCCACATGCTAAGGTATGAACGGTGGGGTATAAATGGTAATGATGGTATTGAAAGGGGGATGGAGCTGTTTTGCTTAGGTAGTACAAAAACAATACCTGTCCTTTAACTTTAAACTCATGACAGTCATGAAAATATGCACATCTATACATCATCACTGCACATCTACATTACCGCAATAAGCTCTAATCACTTACAAAGGTGGAAATTAACTTTAAATATTTAACAAAAAACACTCAAGTAGCTTAACTTATTAGAATACTGAACCTTTTTTTTGCATCACTGGGCTGTAGATTCTCAAACTATCTCTGAATTCATGGTGACACTGTCCTTCCTTCTGGAGGGTGGCTACTTTTGCTCCTGATGGTCCCTATGTGTGTTGTGAAGTAGTCACCACTCCAAGCTCACTCCCATGACAGACTACAATCTCATGTTTAGTTTTCACATGATAGATACTAATCACATTCATGCAATAATAGCGTTTGGGCCTATTTATAAAGTTCAAAATGATCAGTGATGAAAAAGTTGTGTCAAAGGCAAATGATCTGCTTTGCATAGTGGGACAGAAGTACTTAGAAAGGAGATAAGGGGGGGTAGCTGATATGGCATCAGCACAAATTTGACTTCTGTAGGCTAACCAATAAGTTCTTACAGGGAACAAAATCAAGTCTCTTGAAAGTAACATGCTGAAAATCATCTCCCCTACTGAGTGCTGTCACAGGACAGACGTGAGGACTGCAGAAATCATGCTACTATGGTCCATGGAAGACATAAGATGTCTTTGGCTGACTACCCACATCTAGAAATATAATTTTTGGATATACCAATCCTTGATTTCTGTGTAGTAAAACAATATGATGTAACTTGATTTCCACGTAGCACAAACAACATGATTTGATTTCTGACATAACAAAACATGTAAAACAAAGCCAATAAATGTATTACTACATATCCCATAACATTAATCCCACAAAATAATTTCCAGAGATACAAGCCTACCTTTAAGTGGGATGCTCTCTTAAAGGCTTTATTGCACAGATGGCACACATGAATCTTTTCCTTCCCATGAGCTTCTTTGTTATGTTCTGCCAATATGGAGGCAGAAGAAAAGTAATGATTGCATTCAAAGCACTGGTGTATTCTGTCCTGCTTGTCTGCATCGCTACCTTTATCAATGCGTGCTTCATCTGTAACCTATGGAATAAATAATCGTTGTTAACCGTACAACTATATGCACTAGCACAGCTACTTCCAGCATCACGTTGTCATGTAAATGTCTGCTGTATTAAAAAATATAGTAAACAGATGAATGGCCATCACGGTCAATGTATATTTCAATCTATGGGTTATGCATAATGTATATATTTATCCCCCTTAATATTTAGGGATTCAGTTGTTTTGAAGGAATATCATGGAAACAAACCAAAGCCAGTTATCACATTACCATCACACCAATTTGTCTGCTGTGATATTCTAGTACTGGGAGAAAATGTCACAAATTATAATAAGGTTCATGGTAATTTCATAGTGGAGTGGCAGTTTAAAGCATTGTAATCTAATTAGGTTTTGTAGAGTTTATTTTCAAGGTGAGGTATATAAATTTTAAAAAATAAGAAGCAGTTAATCAATCTAGGAATGTTTAAGTCCCTATGAACTAAAATGTGACTTAACATGGTACTGATATATAACTAAAATAACATGAAGTATTCCTTCCAGTCAGATTCTCTAAACCAATGTAGAAATAGAAGTTTCACAGAAATGAAATGTTCACAGATAGTCTGTTTGGTCTTTAGAATTCCTGTATTTGTTATTCAAGAACTGTAGGATTGTCTGCAGGCTGGACAAACTCGAATGTAGATCATCAAGCAAATCCAAACATTTGCAAAGATTTCTGAAGTGACTTGTTCATCTGTGTAGTTGATCTTGCTGTCCTTAACACAAGACTACGTTTTAGAGCTAAAGTGCATGCAAATGTGCTTTGCCTCAGCCATACATCAGCAGAAGTCTGTTATAGAAATATAACAGCACTATATTCAGGATCAGTATTCAAGGAATACATGTGCAGAAAGCAGCCTCAACAATGTTTGACTAAGAGAAACAAAGGAGAGCTCCAAGGTTTTTTTTTACAAATACATAGAGGTCTTATCAGTAAAAAATAAGTCAAGGCAAGTGGACTTATTTTTTACAGATATACCATGACCTGGATGAATGAGAACCTTCACAGACACATAGCACTCTTCTTTAAAATGTCTTATCTTTATTCTCAGGTCAGTCTGCTGTGTTTTCTACTCCTCACATTTATTTATTTCTTTAGCCTGCCAAGATTTTTTTTTAATCATGTAGTGAGCAAACTACAATACTTTCTACTGAAACGATATCCACTGAACAATTATTAGAATTAGCATTAGAAATTAAAATTTACCATTACATTAAACCTATCTGGAAAGTAAATATGGAAGCTGGCATTAGTATAATTATCCAGGCATTACTACTCACCAAAGCCAGGTTCAGGATGACAGTCTCAGATCTTTCATCTTTAAAAGGAAGTCAGCAATATTAACTCTAATATTTTTATCCTCCAGTACACTGGCAACCTGAATTTATATAATGCATTGGTGCCAGATTCCACAGGCTTTTTTAGTGCCATAGGATATGACTGCAGCCTATTAACATAATTCTGTGTAATGCTCCCCTCTGAAAACTAAAGATAGTGGAGCTCAAAACCTGGAAACTACCATCTCACAGGCATAGATTCAGAACACAAAGATACAGCCACCATAGTGACCTAGAAGAAGATGCAGAATGAACGGGAGGATGATTTTATAGATTAAGAGTGGGTAGGCTGTGGCCACAGAACAAATCTTCATTTAAACAGTGCATGCAGATAAAGGTGATATATTTAAACAAATCATACATAAAATTTACATGGACTCATCCCCTGGTTCTCAACTAATGTGTTGTGACCCAAAAGTGGGTTGCGGTGTCCTTACTGCATAGATTGGCCCTCCATCAGCAGGGAGACTTTTTATGGCAGCCTGCAGGAGACTTTGCATTGTGAAAGAGTCCCTTCTCTCCACAGGCCCCCCACTGAAGTGATAGGGCCCGGGAAGAGAGGGGACTATTTCATTTCATCACTTTTAGGCCGGGAATAACATTGGGACCCGCGACTTCCAACAATTAAGTTAAAGTCCAGGCCTGCACTGGATAGTGCAGCAGATATTGATTGATATCAAAAAATGGTAGGATAGGAGTATAGCCTGACCGTGGAGGCTGAGAGAAGTAGGCAGGCGGGGAGAGGTGTGCAGTTTTTCATATAATCATAATAATATTACATGATGAATGTTATTACAACAGAATGAACAGACTGGTCTCTGAATAGCATATATAGCTTTCTACAAGTGATCTGGGCAGCTGTATAGTGATCCGCTGAGATCACTTTTTGCAGCCTGCTTGTGTGCTAAATTTTTTTTGAATGAACCAATACTGTCTGCTGATACCACTGCTTGTGGAAGAGAGTCCCAAAATGGGACTGCTCTTAATGAAAAGAAATCCCTATGCCCTTTGTGGTTAAAGTTGTGGCCTCTAGTCTTTTTTAGGGAGTTTATAGTAAAAGGTTTATTGCTGATGCTGCCATCACCATTAAACATTTTGTACATGAAAATCATGTCCCCTCTTAATTGCCTCACTTCTAGAGTGAATACATTTAAATTTAGCAACCTTGTCTCATAGCTTTGGTCCTCCAGCCCCATTAGTTTTGTTGCCCTTCTCTGGACTCTCTCTAGCTCAAGGACATCCTTTCTGTGGATAGGTGACCAAAACTGAACCACATACTCAAGATGAGGCCGAACCAGTGATCTATAATGTGGCAAAATGATTGCTTTGTCTCTACAGTACATTCCCTTTTTAATGCATGACAGTACTTTGCTAGCTTTGTTTGCCGCAACCTGGCATCGCAAGCTATTGTTCAATCTGTAGTCGACTATGACCCCCAAATCTTTTTCCATTTCTGACTTCCCTAGTGAAGTACCCATTAATGTGTATTCCTCTTGCCTATTTTAACCCCAAAATGAATTACTTAACACCTTCCCCAATATCATTAATAAACAGGTTAAACAGTATTGGGCCTAGAGCAGAACCCTGGGACACGCCACACTCGACCTTAGACCAATTTTAAAAAGAGACATTTACCCATACTCTCTGTAGCCAGTTCATACGTTCCTGTAGCCAGGCCCGGATTATGGCGGCGCGGAGGGGGGGGGGCGTATTGTGGAACCTGGCCTTGGGGCGGCAGGGGGAGTAAATCCGGCCCTGCCTGTAGCTAGTTCTCCAAGTACACACCATTTCATCTATGCCCATAGATTTCAGCGTGTGTATTAAGCGTTTATGTGGTACCGTGTAAAATGCTTTGGCAAAATCCAGGTGCACCAAATGTATCAGCGTTCCTCCATGCAGTTCTCTACTCACCTCATAGTAGAATGTTAGTAGGTTGGTCTAACAAGAACGGTCCTTCATAACGCTATGCGGATTATCACTAATTATACCATTGCCATGAACAAAATCCACCAAATAGTTATTTATCATTCCCTCACACCGGTGGCATACTATTACTGTTAGACTGACTGGTCTGTAGTTCCCAGGTTGTCATCTTGAACCTTTTTTGAATAATAGTACTACCATAGCTTTACGCCATTCAATTGGTACACTTCCGGTCAGTATGGAGTACGTGAAAATGAGGAATAATGGTCGCGCTATAAACTGGCTGAGCTCTTTAAGTACCTCAGGCTGCAGGTTATCTGGTCCCAAGGACTTATTTGCATTAAGTTTTTCTAGTCTTTGTTGAACCCTGGCTACCATCAACCACTGTGGTATCTTACGCACTAAACTACTCACATTATTATCTCCATTAAACCGGCCTTTTTCTTGAGTGTATACTGAGGAGAAAAATGAATTTAATACCTCAGCCTTCTCCCTGATGCTTATGATTGATCCCCCATTCCCATCTTTTTTGGGCCTACATGCTCTTTTCATACCTTTTTACTGTTTATATATTGGAAGAATTTTTTGGGAATTGTGATTGAACATATAGGCAAAGACCAGGCCTTCTGGTACAATGTGCTATCAAATCAAAGATGTGGCCACAGTAACAGTTGCATGTTGACATGTTTTGTGCAAACTGAAGACAACATTTCAGTTGAAGAACTTTATACAAACTGTGAAGCATTGTGGTGGACACATTGTAGTTTGGAGTTGTTTTACTGATTCAGGGCCTGGGCAGCTTGCAGTCCTCAATTCAACTATGAATTCTGCATCATATCAAAGTGAGGCCATTTGTCCAAAAGCTAAGGTTGAACAAGAAGTAGATCTTTAAACACAGTAATAATACATAGGACTGGTTTAAAGAAGAAATGGTGGGTTATGGATTGGCATAGTTAAAGCCCTGATTTAAAACCCATTAAAATATTGTGAGTGGGTTAAAAATGGGAATTTGTTTAAAGAAACGTATCTTTCAACAGAAATAATTTTGCATGGAGAAGTGGTCACACATTTCAGTGACTGATGGACTAATGAAGTAATTTTAGCAATTGATTTTTCCACAGTACAGAATTACATTGATATTTTTTTACAGAGCATAAAGTGGTCACAATAAATTCCCATCCTCAAAAGCAGCTCTGTGCTGATATAAATATAACTACTTCTTAGGTGTGTGTGTTGTAAGGGAAGAAAACTTGCAACTACAATGATAAATCTGAAATAAATCTTCGCAAAACTCAGATGTCCAGGAATATGGGTGCAGGGTTTGCAAATACAAACAAAAACCCCCTGCAAGCCTTTTGTTAAATTAATGGTAGTAGGGTTTGTCCTAGATAAGTGCCTGATTGTATCCATATAATGTTTAATAAATACTCTTCCTACTCTGAGATTTTTTCTTATAGGGTTTGAATAATATATAGCACATTCTAAGAAAATAGACAGTTCCCATTTTTATTTTTGTATCATTACAAAAGACATTAGCAAAGTACCTGGTAATTGAGATCGCTAGTGTTGGTGGAAGGCTGTCCTCCATGGCTAACCAATATGACCTGTTGAGAGCCAGGTCCACTTTGTCCAGATAAGCTGTTATCAGACAGAATGCCAGAAAACTGTTGGCTCTGTTGAGAAAACAAATATGATTTGAACAACATTTTCAGCTCTGAGACAAGAAAACACGGAAAGACTAATCACAAACTGAATTTAAATCCTTCTTTGTAATGTAAGGTTTATGTTAACCCTTACTATTAGCTTTTGGTCTGCAAATACATAATTGGAAGCTTTTGTCAGTTCAATAAGAGCGAAAAATGACAGATGATCCTGCCAGAAATTTTGTGAGCCGATAAACTCCTGTACAATGTGCAGTACAGATATCAATTAGCATTGTTCTTAGCACTCTCTGTGGACTACAGAACACCTCCCATGTTATGGAGAAGAAAAGAGGAGGGTCGTTCTGTAGTCCTAAAGTAGACACTTCCTGTCTTAGAGTGCCAAAACTACCACACAATTTTCTTTGTAGAATCCTGACCAGAGGGTTTGGCTCTTCTTTAATCCTTTTTTTTTTTTGGTCTGTGCTCTAAGTTGTATGCCTGTATATTACATGTTCTGTTCAGCAGCAGTTAGTAAGAATGATCAGTAAATGAGTGAATTGTCAGACATTTAAAAGGGAGGGAGATCATTTGGGCCCATTTAGCTGGAGCTTATGATAACAATTATGGCCCAAGAGCACAGAAATACTGCAGCAAATTTGATACCAGAACTCAATATCCATCTTGAAGACCCAGTTCCCTTAAAAACAGCAGAGAATTTCACAAAGCCAACAACCATGAGGAGCTAGAACTGGATTTTTGGTTCTTTGAATGGCTCTCTGCTCCCTTTAATGTTGGCCACAACAATCAATCTGCATCACATGTCTACCTCAACAACTGCTTTATTACATTTATAAAATCACTGCACATAAATATGAATACCAAGCATCACGTGCAATATTTAAAAGAGAACTATGTGGTAAGTGTTTTCCCCATAGTTCTCTTAAGGGTCACGGGAGGACATATTACACTAGCATCCTCTCGTGACCCAAAGCTCAGTATGAAAAATGTCACTAGCACACCAAGTTCCTTCAAGGATAATCAATCGTGGGTTTATTGAAAACTCATGTCAAAAACACAAGCGCTTTCGGGGCCGCACAGGGCCCCTTCATCAGGCATTGCTACAACTCGGTATGCTGGTGACATTTCTCATATTGTGTGCAATTGGCTGCACCCTTCCTTGATTACGGGACTTTCCGCTAAGGAGTGCAACAAGCCTTTTCTATCATATTCCAAAGCTCAGTATATCGCGAGCAACAGCTGAGACCGCCGCAGCGGGTACGGATCCCGACAATGCTGTCGAGATCCACCCAGCTGCGTGAATGTCTATCTAGAGGCAGAGCCAGCTGTACCCGCCCCGTCCGTTCCTCCAGTCAGCGCTGGAGGATCGGAGCGGGAAGGGAGGAATCCCTGCTGGCAGCGGTGACTGACAGTCACCGTTCTCTGCAGGAAGATGATCGAGAAGTGAGGGAGTTACGGTATGCGTTCGCTCACTTCACGATCTATTTAGTGGATGTGTGACAGTTTCATTGTCACACGTCGGCTCGAACTATGAGGATGAATGATTTTCACTCACCTCATAGTTCTCATTTAAGGGCTAGCATTGTGATGCGTTTTTGATGCAGCTCAAAAACGGAACAAACTGCATCCGGTGTGAACTAGCCCTAAAGATTATTTACTTTGATAATCCTTTCCTATGTAGCAGAGTGCATTTAAACTATTTCAAGCTAATGAAAAGCAGTCTGCGTCGCTTTGATTTAAAAATCATCAATTCGTCCCCTGGTAGGATGGATGATTAAATGTCTGTGAGACTAGGTATAGATAGACGATTGAAGCATAGATATTTACTTACAATACAGTAGACTTAGAATACACCTTGGCCTAAAGTAAAATACTGCAAATGTATTGTAATGTAATGGAATGTCAAGTAATCGTATTGTATGTATTGTATTTGTTTTGTCTTAAAATTATATGTTAATAAAAACTAAATATTTAAAAAAAAAATCATCAATTCTGATCAGTTCTATTAAAAATAAATAACTTTTACTAATCTTTCTTCCATGCTACTGGTAGCTAATTTGCATGAGGCAATTGTATTATAGTGTCATTAGGCATTACAGATACCTGATGATGGTTTGCTCTTCAGCAAACAATTCCAGTTGAATTGGGCAATGCATTCTATCAGATAGCCCAGCTAGCCATTCATCTGTGAACAGTTGATTGGCCAGGCTAGATTTTTTTTTTTTTTTGCATAACCATGCAGGTAACAAAAGAGAGCATCTTTTTGGGAACTTATAAAAACATTAACCCATCCAAAGATCCCAAACCTCAAAGTACACCTCAAAGGACTATTAATTACCTGTTGGATAGTGTGCAGAAGCTGGGAATACAGAGGCATTGTGTAACAGATAACATGAAGGAGACCAGCCTCAACACTTTACTGCAGCAGAGACATCACAAATAAGGCCCCTTTTAAAGTAATAAAGAGGTCATGGGGGGTCCCTAAAAGTTAGTGTGTTTCTCTTCTACTCTGTCTCCTATGCAGCAAAGTGGTTTCTTAAAACATTGGAGCACAAGCTTCTCTTATGTTAGAAAAGAAATTAAACTCTTTGTGGCCAGGTATAAAGCAGGCATGCGGTTCAGGTACTAAATCAATAAGTCATACATAACATTTCTTATTTGTATTGGATCAATATTTTCTGTCTCTGCTCACACTGCTGTGGTCAGAGTGCAGTAAAAATGTAGATAATAAACTCACCAGTGCACAAAACAACCTACCACTCTCTGACCAATTTGCTCTCCAATGTAACCCTATGTGGTTCCCGAGGCAGAAACAGGTGAGAAAAACTGGCAGCTAATGGTCTTTATCTTCACCTCAAACAACTTTTATGAGTTGGCTGTATTAGTAATTTGCCCTGGTCGATAGTGTTGGACAGCAACATATTATATTTAAGAAGCAATTTTTAAACTTCCCAGAAAACTTTTAGGTAAAAGTATGATTACAAAAAAATCGTTTTCTGCATGTCCACATGTCCATTTGTATACAAAATGTTATTGAGGCACCTTATGTTATTATAGAACAAGTTGTGACTAAAAATACATAAATGACCAACAACATTAATCAGAATTTAGACAAAATGATAACAAACAATGCCCAAAATAGATGTTTTCAATTTAGGCAAAGCAGGGCAGTTTTCAATCACCTCCAACAGTTTACAGCTATAGGAGCCTGACAGTGATAGCTTCCCTAACTCCTAGAAGAACTGTAATAGAATGTGTAAAATATATTAGAAAAAAAGGTCTCTGTCACTTTCCCTGCAGTGGATTCTGCATAACATTATAGGCCCCATTAGGCATAAGAATAGCTGAAAGACACACCTCAACATATTCATGGCCTCTTAAATTTGGAAAGGATCCAGGGCCCCAAAGTGAATTCAACACGCAATCCAAAATGTGAAATCTACTGTGGGTGGATCAACCAGTGGGGAGAGAAAAGGTAATCCAACTTACCTTTTTACAGCGAACTAGACAGATAGTCACTAGACAAATGTTAGGATTCCCACTAATAGTTGATATAAAAGAAATCCTGGCATTGCTTCACCAACAACTGTAGCAGTCCCATAGAAGGCACTGCAGCTCTTATGGCACACTTTGAAGCAGTCATAAATGTGAAAAAAATATGTCTCATTCTCCCCTTAAGCTAGACTGACTTAAGCAAGCTAAGTGACTGCAACCTTCCATGCACTGCAGTTTACATCTCCATCTTGAAAATATAATTATGGCTGTTTTTATACTACCTCAGTGCCATTGAGGACACAGGAAGTATTTCACTATGGAGTTATATTGCCACCTACAGGATGACTGGGCACTGGCAAACAAAAAACTGTAGCTCAGCCTAGGAAAACCCCTATTATGAGCATGGCACAGATTTGTAGTTCTGTGTCCCTCAATGAACTGCACGAAAAGGGTTTTACGGAGAGTACAAAAATCCTTTTTTCTTTCTCATCCATTGAGTGACACATTCAAAAGCAAACTGAGGTGGGCAATAGCAAACAAATGCTAACAGACCCAAGAAAAAGAGCAGGGCCCACCATAGATGACAGAGCTCTAGAAAAGGCTTCCAAAAACGTATTGGTTGGTTCCTTAAAGACAGGCACATCTTCTACTGGAATAGTAAGCACCTTGTATATGTGGGACACTGCAGGATCCACAGTAGGAATAGGCCACTTTTGCACAATATCCTCCCTAAATGGGTACAAACAAATAAGAGCTTGGGGAAGCTAACAGCTTATCAGGATGCTTTCAATCTCTGTAGAGAAAGGGTTGGAGAAGTGGGTGGAAAGAGAAGGTCTTTCAGCCTAAAGGTGCCCATACACTTTACAACCCTCGCAAGACTTTTGTCTTGCGAGGGTTGTAAAGTACTTCAAAAAACGTACGATCTACCCATCTTGGACAGGCAGATCGTACCTGCGATCATCGCAAGCCCGCCCCCCTGAGGGGCGGGCTTCCGATGACTGCAATGCTGAACGGGCAGTGTGCGCGTGCGCACACCGGCCCGTTCGGCAGTGATCTCTCGATCATGTTAAAAACCAGCCGAAAATCGTACGATTCGCGGCTGGTTTTCCAACATGCTCGAAATACAAAAGACGTGCGACCGTACATTAGAAACGGTCGCACGCCTTCCATACACTGCACGATTCTCGTACGATCGCGGGATTTCCCGTGATTCTCGTACGGGAATCGTGCAGTGTATGGGAACCTTTAGGAGTGTGAAAGGACCCAAGACTGGAAACAGCATTGATAGAGACAACAGACTGAATCTCTACTTTCTGAGTAGTGTGTATTGCATAAAAAAAAACTTAAACAGCCTCCTTTAATTTAGGAGCGATAGCAGTAGACTGCTATTCCTCAGGGGTAAGCTCATTAGTTTGGGACTGGAGTGACTCAGAATCAGAGTCTCTTCAGCCAATGGGTCAGAAGACCACAGGATAATCAGATATAGAAACTGTAAAAAAGCTAGATATGCTCAATTGTTGTTTTTTTTTTTGTAAAAATATTTTATTTTTGTAAATGTATTATTTATTTACATTTTTAAACATTTTTTTCAACTTTTTTCACTATTTTCCATTCTGCTCGGTACAACGGAGGTACTGAGCAGAATAGCTGAATCGAATGCCGCTCGGCAGAGCATGTTTGGCTGACCGAAGTGCAGCTGAAGGCAGCCGATGTAAGGTTGAAGTCAGCCGTACTGAGCCGTAGTGAATAGACGTACGTTGTTCGCCTCACTTCACTACGGCTCAGTTATTCACTCGGCTGCCTCCGGCAGCTTACTGAATAACCCTGTTAATTACACAAGAACATGTGCACTTCTTGAAGGTAAAGTGTTTTCCAAATGACATTTTGTGGTGTCATATGATTACTAACCACAACATATTTGTAATGCTCATGCATACTATTATGTGCTTCTATAAGCCTATTGTAAATGACAAGGCACTCAACTAATCAGGCAGAGTGCAACCAAGCACTCTGTTTAATGAATTCATTTTAAGAGGGTAAAAGACAGGGTCTTCTCATTGTTTTGTTACTGTGCATTATATTGTGTTTCTCGGTCGTCAAAGTTTAAGAATGAACCTAACAATATAATATATCATATATATTTTTAAAGCAATGTGTTCATGATCTTTAAATCCACAGCACTGCAGAACACCGTATGTCCGGAGCTAAATCATACAACATTATCTATAGGAAATCATGGTTGATTAGGTTAGTTGTTTACTTAATCTATGAGCACCAGGTGCTGTTTGTCACAGTGAGCCACCCAATAGTATTTCCTCAGGCCTCAATTTTATTTCCTAGATACAAGACAAAATGACAACTTGATTAAGTGTTCATACCCAGGAGCCTCTTTGAATTAGTGCTAATGCCTTCGGCAGCTCAGAGACTAGGCTTTCACTTAAGCAGACTTCGTTAATATGAAATGTTGCAAACTGTGCCAATTAACAACTCTTCTCAATGGCTATTTTCTGGGACATATTGGGCAATTAATTCATGTTTAGTCAGTGTTTAACTATAATGTCTCTCATTAGTTTATTTTTCCTCCAATAATATCCAGCTGCAAAACACATTTCATGTAACGCAGGGCGACAAAACGAGATACAGCTGAGCTATATTGATTACGTTTTTATGAAACATGCATTCCTATTTTATGCTGTGTTTGCATATATCATAGGCATTTCAGGCTACTAAAAGTCAGAACTATTTTGCAAAGAATAAACGTTCAGTTATTTTTATATGGCACACATACATTTCTAGCACAACAGAAAGCCATGACATTATAAAAGTGAATCAAATACAATGTGCGGACCCACGACAGAAAGAGGGGAAATTATTAAAACTGGAGCAGGCAAAATCGGGAGCAGCTGTACAGAGCAACCAATCAGCTTCTCCTTTTAATTTTCAAATCTTAACTGAACAAACTGAAGAAAGAATCTGATTTTTTCTGTTCCAGTTTTGATAAATCCCCCCTCATAATATGTATTAAAGAAAGCACTGCAAAAAGCAATACATATGAATAAAGTGTAGTAACCAATAGCAGTCAGACTGTAGTGAGATCAAGAGACGAGTGATTAATTGCTATTGTACTACTGTAAACATTTTCATAGCCCTTTGCAATGCTTCTGTGAATATGCAAAGAATCTGAAAGGAATGTTTAATTGTAAGTTATTTAAGGCTGAGTTGCGACTGCCAGCTAGGCTTTAAAAGAGAACTATGGGGGTAAGTGTTTTTCCCCATAGCTCTCTTAAGTGTCACAGAAGGACATACACTAGCGTCCTCCCGTGACCCAAAGCTCAGTATATCGCGAGCTACAGCTCACGGTATACTGAGACTGCCGCAGTTGGGACGGATCCCGACGTTACTATCGAGATCCACCCAGCTGCATGACAGCGGGCTCTGCCTATCAAAATAGGAGGCTTGATTTTTCTCTACTGTAGTTAAGTAACATTTTGAGGTTGTGTCCCTCACCCAACCTGTGACTGGATAGTAAGACATCAGCCACACTTGCTTGCATTAGAAAAAAATCCTTACTGATGCACTGAATGGCACTCTTATAATAATGTGTGAAGGATTTGCAGTACAATAATAATTCTAGATCAAGGTGTATAATTATACGGTTCTATGACAGCCAAGAGTCAGAGGAAGTGGGTTGAAGAATGCTGGCTTTAAACATATAGACTATGAATTCAGGCACAATGCAGCAACAGTGACGAAATCAGATTAGTAATTCAACTTGATTTTTTTCATTTTGAAAGATTCAGTCTTTATTTTATTCAGATAACAGATCTTCATAAATCTTTAGCTCACAACAGTGTATTTGTTTAATGCTTGGCTTTTTTTTTTACAAATTGTGTACATGCATCTATGTAGATCATTATGATACATGAGAAAGTACAACCATCCTCAGTCATTTAAATAGTGGGATTATTCTAGTTAGATGATCACATCTTTATTTCATCCTATAATTATTCCTCTAAATTGTATCGCAATCTGTCTGAATTTATAGCCACGTGTCTTTTTTTTGACCAGCCAGTTAATCTTACCCAACTTTTCATTACATTTTCACGGCTTCCTTCTGCTCAGCAAAATGTCATCTTCTGTTTGCCTGTTCATCTACTTCTCCTAACTTTTTATTGCTCATTTATTTCTCAATAAAAATCTATGGAGTAGTGCAGGCCATGAATGCTGATTTCATTCTATACGGCTGCCTAACTACACACCATGCGGTCCTGTTATTGCTGAGCTCAGACTACGTGTAAACTAATCTGGCACACAAGCTATGGGGACAGGGTGCCATGACTGGTAAATTGAGTTCATACCTGGGGAGTGATGTTCAGGGTCACACCATCAAGGCTTCCGGACAACATACTCTCAGTGTCAGCTAAAGTCAGAGTTACACTTCCATCTCCTCCCACTCCAGATGACATAACCAAATTTTGAGTAGAAACGGGGGTCTGAGTTATTGAGGTGGTGCTAGTAAGACTGCCAGTTGATGTGGTCAGCTCTAACAAAAAACAGATAAATCAGTTTGATCAAAATTATCTTATTACACACCAAAAATCAGACTGATCCCAAGTCATTCTCTAGAAATTTGTAGTCATTAAACATTTTTTCAGATAAAATGCATTATGAAAATATAAGCTTAGAGGAAATTTGGTTTCACAATGCTCAAACATAGCCTTTTCGTGCCATCTGTGCTATTCATCAAGCAGGTGGGCTGATTGGCATCTTACACATAAAATGCATGTACATAATTCACTGCTCAATACTTTAGCCAGGCAATTGGAATAGACTTAAGCCGGCAATACACCTATAGATTATCTGCAGATTTTCTATGGTCAGATGGAAAAAGTGCAACAGATTCTTCCATCTACGCTAAACTGTGTGGATGGAGAATTCTCCCACTGGACCAAGCTTCAGTATCTTGCTAGTCGGCCCCGCTGGCTCTCAAAATACCTGAACAATCTGATTGGATTCCCCCATCCACACCATAGGAAATCTCAGATAATTTATAGTTGTATGGCCAGCTTTAAAGTGACACTAAACTCAGAAGTTAAATCTTAAAAATGCATTGTACCCCAAGTATTAACAAAAATGTAGCTTATTTGTGCATCACTCAGCTTTAGACACCTCAAATCAACTCCAGAAGGACAGTGTCAGCACCAATTCAGAGATGATTTGAGGATCTACAGCAGAGTGATACACAAATAAGTAACATCTTTGTTAACAGTTAAGGTGCCCATACACCTTACGATTATCGTACGATAATTGTATGCAATCGACTTTTCGTACGACAATCGTATGAATAGAGTGCCCGACCGATAGTACTATACAATCGTGCGACTTTTGACGGTCAAGCATGTTTGAAAACTTTGGTCGATCGTACGATGTTCGCATGGTTGGTGGCTTTTCCGTCCGTCAAAAGTCGTACGATTAACACTGCACATACGAAAATAATTGCGGTTAATTACCGCAAGGCTGATTGAACCTTGCGATAATCGGGCAGGAAGGACGACGGTTCGATCATCGGACGATCATAGGGTACTTGAATGCATTTTTAAAGATTTTACTCCTGAGTTTGGTGTCACTTTTAGTCTTATGACACAATGAGAACAGTTGAGCTATTGCATTGAATTAAAAATGATTTGTCATTCATTGCGTTGAGTAAAGATAGCACCTTTTATGGGACCGATGGGCTGAGCCACAATATACTTTTCAGCAGTCAGCATTGTATACCAAAAAGTCATAAAGAGTGTTGTCTAAAGCAGTATTTCTCAGTCACAGCACCCTTTAAAGTATGCAAAATCTCAAGGAATCCTGATTTAAAATGCCAAAAAGGTAAATGTACAAAAACAAATAACGGACATGTGGCCACTCTAAAATCCATACCAGAAACTTATGCCGGGAGGGGGGGTTGTTCTGAAATGGATTTTAACTGGGGACCCCATGCAAAAACACATAAAATAAACATGGGGTTCATTCTTCACATCAGAGTCCCCCCCCCCCTCACACTAGGAGCCCCCATTCTCATCAGAAGAGCCCCCTTCACATCAGAGTCCTGTCCTTTCACAACAAGTCCCCCCTTCACATCAGAACCCCCATTTTACACATTAGATTACACCCCTTAACATCAGAGCCCCCCATGCATATGGGTAGGCATGACAGTGTGTGAAGATTTTAAGGAATCCCTGAGGAAGTCAGAATGCACCCTAGGGTGCCATGGGCAACCTGGTTGAGAAAGGCTGGTCTAAAGTTTGATACAATGAAAATGCTTATAATGCAGCTGCCTAAATTCATGGCAATGTATTATTTGAGTACATATAAAAAAACAGACAAAGAAGATGCTTCACATATTACCATACCTGAAGTAGTGGTTAGTGTATTGGCCTGTGATAAAATGTGGTCGCTACTCAGCGATAATGAGGTCTCTGGAGTCTGGTTGGTAACTGCAGGTGTACTTATTCTCAAGTTTCCACTCAGTTCACTGCCCCCTGAAGTGCCCAGCTGCATGATATCTTGACCTAATTATCTAGGTCAATGATAATTTAGCTTTTTAACCACTTTACCAGAGACCTGTTAAACCCCCTTTAGTACCATACCATTTTTGAGACAGACAGAGCTTTCTTTCTGTGGTATTTAAAAACTGACTACATAACCAAAACATAAGCAAAATATTTTGGAAAAAAAAAAACTTTTTTAAAAAATTACCCCTTTTTGTAAAGCAGGCACTGATCTGTTTTTTTGCAACATATATTTTTGGAATTGAAGAAACATGCCAGTATTAAGGATGTTAAAACATGGAACTTGGTAATGGTGCACTAGATACATACAGGTCATACACAGAGGGAGGAGAAAGTGAAGGGGTTAATGTACAGCTCACAACATACACATACAAGGGTTAAAAATGATCACTAACTTTATAATTTTGTGCTGCAGCTCATTTTCACCAGGAACTAATGAAATAATGACTTATTCATTCCATAGTTCCCTTAGTCTACCCTGCATCTATTGTAAGTAGAAGTAAGGACTTGGTAATGTAAACATTTCCAGGGTAGGACTTACTGGTACATCCTCCCTGAACAATGGGCCAGCGGACCAGTGGTTTATGTACAGTGGCCGGTCCGTCGGAAGTTAAGTCCACTGTAATAATTATGTGTATCAAAGTGTTATCACTAAGTGCTGGCACTCAGGTGTGAGAATCCATGGTTTAGTTCTTTCCTTACAAATATTACACGTTGTTAGTTATACTAACAGCAGAGGTGGTCTACAGACCTATTTTGAAATGACAGAAGATACCACAGGCCATACTGCAAATTAGCATGGGTGTACACATCAAAGATCTTACTGGTCTGCAGTCTTGGAGTGTGTTCAGTAGCAAGATCCATTCATCACAGAGATGAATGGATATTTATAGACAGCTTCTAATGGCTGTCATGAAGTGGTCAAAAGAGTTGCGGGCATATCTTCAATTCATGTAGGGGGGCCCAAAGGCCTGTAACTATACTTGGAAAATTTACAAAAGGCACTTCCCTGTGGCACCCACTCTCACTAAACCTTTCAGTAGGATTATATCGATACTAGTATCGATGCATCCCTAATTTTAATGGAATCTCTTTTTGTCTTTACATTAGCCTTTTTATAGTTTTTCATACAGCAGGATTCAGGCTGGGAGAGGACGGTGCAGAATTTTGGCAACAATCATGCGCAATCAGGCTTTACAGCATTGCACACAGCACACTAAGAGCAGACTGTTAGCAGAGGAGAGCACATTACTCTCATCAGTGCATTGCTTCTCTTACACTACCCAGTCCAGGGGTGTCCCTGAGTCAGAGGTGGTCAGAGACTGCATTGCTGTCTAGGGTGTCTAGATTACAAAATGGCTGGGAAGATTTACCTTTTTTTGACAGGTAAAACACTTAAATATTTAGCTGTAAATATAGCCATTTGCTTTATTCCCTTTATTCCCACTTACAGTTTGTGCAAGTAGTAACAACACAAACACAAATATGCCCTACAAGAATAGTTTAATTAAATTCCACATGATTCATGGCATAAAACTAGGGATGCACCGATACTGATACTCATCAAAATGCTCCGATACTTACCCCGATACCAGAACTGCCAGTCTAGTGACACTGCAAGGCAGCCTGGCTTCCTGACCAATCGGGAAGCCGGGCGGCACATCGTGACCCACCTCCCAGCTTCCTGATTGGCTAAGAAGCCGGCTTCACAATGCCTAGTGACCAATCAGAAAGCCGGGCGACACGTCACGAACCACCTCCCTGATTGTCTAGAAAGCTGGCTTCATGCTGCCCAGTGAAACTGCAAGGCAGCCTGGCTTCCTGACAAATGAGGAAGCCAGGCGGCACGTCATGACTCACCTCCTGGCTTCCTGATTGACCAGAAAGCCAGGCTGCCCTGCAGTGTACCAAGGGAGCATGAAGCTGGTGTTCTTTTGATAGAACACTAGCTTCCCAGGCATTCTGATTGGCTGGCAAGCAAGGCCCACGCTATCTCAGCATCTCGGTATCGGTAAAAAAATTATTAGTATTCGTATCGGTATCAGTGCGTCACTACATGAAAGCATAGCACCAACAGGACACACACATAAGGTGCCCATGCACTGTACGGTTCTCGTACAGTGCATGGGCTGTATTACTTTCTGTATCGTACTGTATCACTTTCTATAATTTTTTATTTTATTTATTACATTGTCACTTACAGATCCAGAATATAGTTTTATATATTACATTTGGTCTTGAGTGTGTATCAGTGTTTAACACAGACCGCAGAATATTTTAACTTACCAGATATTGTGAGGGTGATCTCCTGAGGAGAAACTGAGGATGTGGTTGGAGTGGTGCCAGCAGCATGGGCTAAAACCTGGCTTAAACTTGAGTTATTAATGGTCAGTGTGATCTCATGCTGTCCATTAGATGAAGACATCAGTCCTTGGGAAGCCATGACTTGAGAAAGCTCATGTCCACCTGAATGGATAGGAAAAAAAAGCATAGTCACATAATTTCTATTTTGTGAGCAACAGAAACTGTAATTTAAATGTAGCTGTGTCAATATCACATCAGTATGCAGAAATATAGTCAATATCAACTTTCCACATAATTTACTCCACGAGGAGTACATAGATTTTCAGGACAATTATGCTCTTTGATTAATTTTTTACGGCTTCCCGACTGCAAAACCGAAAAAAAAAAAGTAAATTGAATGCTGACTTTTAGAGATTCAGAGATTCAAAAATGGGTTTAGCTTAGAAAAACCTTTTTGAATTCATATGCTCTAGACAGGAAAGGTAAAGACATAGTAAAAAGCATAGGTGACAAGGATATAAACAGTTTGTAAGTTTCTTTTTATATATATATATATCTATAGCAAGTGGGAGCTGTGAAACAAATGTGGTAGGCCAAAAAGAACCACATCTTGCAATATTTAGAAGGTCTAATGTGTTGCTACAGGCAATACATAAAACTGACATTTTTTTCATCAAAGAGAAATAAAAAGATTTTTGCCCTGGGTAACTGGGCATGTGCTCACTGAACATAAAATAGATAATGCAAAATAAGGCATACATATACACCCCGGCCACCCCAGTCAACCTTCACACGAAAAAAAAAAATGTTAGAACTGCTTAAATACAAGAAAACTTATATTCTTCAAACTGGGAAATGTCATATTTTGGATTAAAGACAACAGATTTACTAAAATGGTCACATCTGCAGAACAGGTATTGGTTGCTATTTCTTTAAATTCTTTATTCAAATAAAATATATATACAGTATAATAAATGCACAATAAATAGTGCAATTTATTTGAGGGAATGCACCCTCACTAGTTAATTTAACGTAATCCATATTAACAAACTTGTTAGTTTATCATCTTAGAACAAGGTGGGTTCAATAGTTTCAAATGTAAGTTTTATATGTCTCCTCAACAAGCTACTCACCCACCCCACCACTCTATTCCAAAGCTTCTTAAAAGAGAACTATGGTGTAAGTGTTTTTCCCCATACTTCTCTTTAGGGTCACGGGAGGACATATACTAATGTGCTCACGTGACCCAAAGCTCAGTATATAGTGGACTATTGCCTGTGATATACTGAGAGCGCCGCAGCCAGGACGGATCCAGACAATACTGTCATGATCCACCCAGCTGTGTGACCGACAGCTGGCTCTGCCCATCTAGAGGCAGAGCCAGCTGTGCCCGCCCCCTCCCCCTGTTCGTTCCTCCACTCAACCCTGGGGGATCGGAGAGGGGGGAATCCCTGCAGGGAGCCGTGCAGGGAGATGATCAAGAAGTGAGCGAGCGACGGTATGTGTTCACTCACTTCCCGATCTATTGAGCCGACATGTGACAGTTTCATGATGAGTGATTTTCACTCACCTCATAGGGGAGCAGTGACCGCTCACTGCAGAGAGACGAACGGGAAATTAACAGATCAGTGGATGTTTCTGCTCACTTCCCAATCAATATAGCGGACCTGAGACAGCTTCATTGTCACAGGTCGGCTCTAACTATGAGGATGAGTGGAAATCACTCACCTCATAGTTCTCCTTTAACCTTTCTACAGTTAAATAGCATACGGTTTAAATTTGCAGTAGCAGCTCCACACTTCAGTCGAGAATTACTATAACCTTTCCAATCTTTTGCTGCAGAAAGGAAGGCTGTATTAATCAGTTGAAGATATACATCTCTGAGCTTGGTTACCAGGATTGTTTTACAAACCCTCCTCTAGGTCTTCTCTATCAATTCTCCTAGACCTCTCCCCTCAGGGAAAGTAAACCTCCACTTCTTGTTATATGATCTTTTACTTTTTGGTGGTTAAAAGTATATCATATATCACCCTAATAGGGAGTTCCCCCCCAAACCCTCTTTTTTAAAATCAGCTTTATTATAATATTATTATTATTATTATTATACAGAATTTATTAAGCGCCAACAATTTGCTCAGCGCTTTATTATAGAAAAATAAGTTGCATGACACATTACAGTCATCACCTTTATAAAGTTTGCCAAGATGTTACAGATAAAGACCAATCCAGTGAACAATAAGGGAAATAATTATCACAAAAGCATTTACAGTGTCTGACTGTGCAGTCACTATCTGGCCTGTTTATTTTTTACCCTATAAATGGAAATTGTTGATGATTCCTTTTTAACTAGTCTAGAAATAAACTTTCCTAACTAATTTCCACAGCTGGTGCATCTTGCCAGGTTTTTATAGCCCTCTCACTTTCATGTACTATTAAATAAACTGTCCCCTGCTATTCAAATATTGCTCATATTCCTTCTTTGAATGTTCCCTGGAGAATCCATCATAAGCTTCTTATTTACCTTTTTATATAATTTGTCTAATCATTCAGTTTTAATTTTATTATAGTGAGCAATAATGTTACCCCTGGGCACGGAGTTTAAAGTGTTTTGAAATAATGGTGGATTATCCTTTTGTAAGCCATTGTTTCTAACAAATTCCTCTATTCTTATGTTTCTATAATGTCTAAAAGTGTCAGTCTCTTTCAAAAAGATTGAAAATTTATAATCCAATCCAACTGCTTGTTAACAATATGTTATATGTTAAGGATGTTAGATGTGAACACAAATTCAATAAAATGACTAAAAAGCAAAAGGAAAATAACAGAACTGCCACCCAGATCAAAAAGCAGCATGCTCGCCAGAATGCTCCGTTCCCCCGCCAGCTACCTTTCTCTCCACCGTGGTTTTCAGAATCCCCCACTCTTTTGGGGGACCATGGACCATGGCAGATTACATCAGGATGGAGAGTAGGTAGCAGAGCGAAGCTACCCACTCGCAGCCTTCCTGTCTCAGCTGTCAGAGAAGATGGAGTACTTTGCTGTATTGGAGGTGACAGGTTCTATAAAGAGAACCTGTCACCCCAAATGCTATCACCCAGGGGCTTGTTAGCCACTGTTTGAGAGCAATAAAGTTAAGTGAAAAAAAAGTAAAAAATAATACAATTAATAAAAATTAAGAGTAAAAAATAAAACGATAAAGTAAAAATGTTAAAAAGTAAAAAAATATAAAAAATAAAAAAAGTGATAAAACAAAAAAATAATTAAATTAAAACCAACCCCGCCATCTGCATGCAAATAAAAACTGACTGTGTGTCATAGTGTGGTAGCCGGGCAGCAGTGCTCTCTAACATGCACAATGTACATTAAAGGGTAAGTTCACTCCCCCACCGCGCTATTCTTACCTTTCGCGAACAGTCCTTCCCCTCCACCGGTACAGGTGGAATATCTGAACACCATGCTGTTCGCTCACAAAATGAGAAGTACTTCTTAGCACAGTTTAATACAGCTTTGGTTAAAATTATTTTTTGTATCAGGATAAGTAGAATGTCATCAGGGACAAGTAGATTGGCCCCCCGCTTTAGTCCCTGGATAAGTCGTTTTTTTGTGGGTTTTTTTCACACCCCTGCACTAGTATTATTCACAAGATTCTTCTTAATATCTGAGAAAATACCCTTTTTTAAACATTTGTTTTTTGGTTCAGGTTTAAATTTTTCTCCAATCCTCATGCAGATTTACTGCTTGTGCAACAGGAAAGGAGTTCATAAGAATGAAAGGACAGGATGATAGAGAGGCCAAATAAGGAAATGGGATAAGAATATTGGAGAGATCTGCCTTCCATTGATGATGGTGAGGACCACCTAGATTCTGTGGCATCAGACTGAGTTCTTTTGTGCCAATAACATCACAGAAACAGGGGAGGTGTAGCTTGGAGGGCAGGAAGTAGTGAATATTAAAGTGTATGTCTGGGTTAAAAAACAAACAAAAAAAAACACATTTGGTATATCTCTACAATACCTGCAAATATCCCCATGCTTAGTCTCTCTAAAAATGCTGCAAGAGCAGAAATACCTTCTGTTCTGCTAGACTTCCAATGTGCCCCTTCTGTAGTCCACAGGTGATTACTGAGCAGGGCTGGTAACATTAATTGGAATTTCAGTGCAGCAGAGGCTGAAGGCACAGGATGCTAGGAGCTCACTAGATTTCTGGCAGGATGGACAGGTTTTTTGTATCTGTACAGCATTTTTATAGGGATGAAACACAGTTTTATTTTGCCCAAGCATGCACTTTGAATGATGAGATGATGGAAGACATAAAATGAAAGTGGATACTAAGGTCTATTTAGAGCATCCTGCAAATGTCTAAGTAAGTGAAATGGCTGGCATCATAGCAAGAGTGGTAACACATAAATGCAGCAAGAATGGAAAGCATCAAATATGGCCATAAACAGATTTTTTAACACAGGAGCTCCCCATGATCTGTGTCTGCCGTTACTAAAGTAAAACGAATTTTGTGAAGAAGTAACCAAAATAAATACATACATACAAAACTTACTTGCGCTGCTGGAACTTAACATAGATTCTTGTTCACTGATAGGAGTAATAGTCAAGTTGGAGGAGGATGTTGTGCCAGGCTGCAGAGACAAGCTTGCTATAGGTTGAAGTACAACATTTGCTGACATAGCATTATCATTTGTTTGCAGAGTGCTGGTAGATTGTACTGCACCAGAGTCTCCATGGAGAGCTTGAGGTAAAATACTGCTATGCTGCAGAGTTTGCTGTAAAAGGCTGGGATCAATCTAGAAATAAAAATGCAAGAAAAAAAATATATAAAAAAGCTGGTAAGTTCGAAAATATGAAAGATCACTGCTATTTTTAATTTTTTAAATCTTGCTACCTGCAGTGTTATATTGTTGATGCTTGTGGCATCAATTCCAGAAATTTGAACATTTTGACCAACCAGGTTGGCAGCCAACTGTAGCTGAATTCCTTCCAGAGTGGCCAAGCTACAATCTGACAGCGACACTGTTAAATCTCCGGAAGCTGTAACAATATAAGAAGAAAATACAAACCATAACTTACAAGACATCCCATTTAATTAGGTTTAGTCTTTGCATTTCATGACCTTGCTACCCTTGATGTATAAAAGCACAAACATTTGTGACACATCAGCAAAAGTGGATTTTTGTACTCACTGCAAAATCCTTTTTTTGATAGTTCATTAAGGGACATGGGATTCAGAGACAATTATACTGCTACCTACAAGAGAATTTGGACACTGGAAAACAAGAAAAAAGTGACCCAGTCTGTAATAATGTCTCCTACTCTTATCATGCCTTAAAGGAGAACTATGAGGTGAGTGCTTTCACTAACCTCATAGTTCTAGCCGACCTGTGACAATGAGACTGTCACAGGTCGGCTCAGTAGATCGGGAAGTGAGCGAACACATACTGGCGTTCGCTAACTTCTCGATCCTGTCACAGCTCTCTGCCGTGACAGGGGAGTGGCTGGATTCCCCCCTCCGATCCTCCAGCGCTGACTGGCGGAACGGACGGGGGAGGTGGCGGGTAAGTTGGCTCTGCCTCTAGATAGGCAGAGCCAGCTGTCGCTGGGCGGATCAGACATAATTGTCGGGATCCGCTTCAGCCGCGGCGTCTCAGTATATCGCGAGCTGTAGCTTGCGGTATATTGCGGCGTCTCAATATACCGCAAGCTGTAGCTTGCGGTATACTGAGCTTAGGGTGACGGGAGGACGCTAGTTTGTGTCCTCCTGTTACCCTAAGGAGAACTATGGGGAAAAGCCCTAACCCCATAGTTCTCCTTTAAATCTTAAAAACCGTTGCTTGATGCCGAAAAGTGCCAGAAACACTCACAGACCTAGTAGTCTGCACATTGACAGGAGAGGGTGGAAACCGATCCTTAAGAGCATAAGCTTGAATGATGCTTTGTCTGAGCCACATAGAAATAGTGGAACAAGAAGCTGGTTCATCATGTGGGGGGACCACCAGGATTGACGAAGAGGGAGTCAGTCTTTCTAATGGAAGCAGTGGCTACGAGGTAGACATGAACATCATGAACTACATCTAAACAAACAATGAAGAAAATCGCTTTCTGATGTACTGTGGTCGGAATGAGTGACAGAAGCATAATGTCTTGGTTGAGGTGTTAAGCCAAAACCTTGGGAAGAAAGGTGACTCTAGGTCATAATACTACCTTGTTCTTTGGAGTCACAGGTGGGTGGCACCGGGGAGTGAGACACACTGTACAAACGTCTAACAGGCTAGCAGTATTTGGAATAATTTTTACCAGAGCGGAGAGCTGATCTTGATCGTACTCAGGACCAAACTGGTGATCCAAGTCTGACTGCAAAAAGGATTCAGCCCGCTGAGTATTTTCTGGGATGGAAATGTCCTTGCACCAAGTAAAATATGCCTTCCATGCTCTGTGGTAGACCTTTTGGGAAGTGTACTTCCTGGCACCAAGTCAGAGAGGCCTCTGTCCTTTAAGACCTCTGTCCTTTAAGCCATAGCCTTAAAGCCAACAGAGGGATGGTATACTGGCCCTTGGGACAGAAGATCCGGTCGTTATGAAAAGGTGAATGGAGTGTGTCCCAGGATTCTGATGAAGTCAGAGTACCACTTCTGCCTGGGCTAGTTAGGAACTATGAGTATCATCAGCTAACAGTATCATCAGAGTTCCCTACATTTTCAAGGAGTTACAGGGGAGTAAAGGCATAGAACAGGTTATATTGATCCCCCAGAGCATCCACTGCTATCACCAGATCTTTGTTATGGAGACAAATCTGCTTAAGTATGATCATGAACCTGGAGGCTAGGAGGTCCACATCCAGCATCCCCACCTGTGACACAGGTTCTGGAACTTACACTTACAAGTGTAGAGGCTATTCCCCTAGGTCCAGGTGCTGCTGGCTGATGAAGTCTGTTTGTCAGTTGTCTATGACTGGAATATAAACAGCACACAAAGCTGGAACATGATATTTTGCCCAGAACAGTATGTTTTCTGCTTCCTTCCTGGTGATTAATGTAAGCCACTGCTACAACATTGGATCCCTATCAGAAGACCTTCCAGCCAGATGCTCAGCATTGTAAGAACAACTAAATCGCTCAAACCACCAAAATGTTGATCAGGAGCCATGATTCCCTCCGTTGCCGAAATCCCCTGCAGCAACAATGTGTCTCAGACTCCTCCCCAGCCAGTCAGGCATTGATTTTCCCAACCCCAGAGCTGTAATCCTGAGTCATCAGTCCAGAGACAACTTGGCCCTTGTCAGGAGATTTGGTCTGTACAGAAAATAAACTGATTTCTCCTACACTGCCAGGATGTTGAGATGCAAGCCCTGGAGTGAAACTGGGTAAATGGGACTGCCTCAAAAGAGGCTACCATTAGCCCCAGGTCTCACATGCAGAAACAAAGTGGGTGGACTCTAGGATTGAAGTGTCGGTGTCTGGAAATTGATAGTTTGAGGGTTTTTTTGGGCGGAAATAAAACTCTGGCTTGAGTTATGTCCAGGGTCAGACCCAGATATTCAGTCAGTTTCAATGCCGACTTCTAAAGGGTTAGGATCTAACTGAACTGTCCATACCACATTGTTGGTTAGGATCTGTCTTGACCGTTACATCAACGGAAGGTTCTCTAGATTCCCCACAATGGGGATGCCCTGGGAGTGCAACAAGGCAATCACAGGGACTAGAACCCTGGTGAATGTGCAAGGTGAGAAAGACAGAGGAAGCTGAAAGTGCTGAGGCCCCCCAGCAAAGGGAAGCAATTGCGTATGTGCTGAGGGGAGGTGTAGCTCTCATCCCCAGTGACATCCTTGATGAGAGCGTCCAAGGCAGCTTCAAAGAGATATCCCTCTAATGGCATGTGCAGTAGATGCTTTTTAAATGCCTTTTTTAAAGCCCAGAATTTCAGCCAAATAATTCTGACTATTCACTGATGAGCAACACATACAAGAAATAAGATAGCTGCCTGTGACTCATCAGAGGAAATCTCATGCTGGAAGGATCTGTGAGGCTCTTCATCAGATAGAGTTTCCTCCACTGAAGGCTCAGAGGACACTAAGACTGCTGGCATATCAGATAATGAGTCTGCAGGGGAAGGCTTTGAGGTATGCCTATGTCCTCTGCGGGCAGCAATTAAAATTGCAATATGGGCCAAAAAATCTTGCATAACTGTGATTAAATCCTCCTGGATTGATGCTGTGGAGGGGATCACAACCAACCAAGCCATGAAGGACTCCGGAGAAAGGGTTCAAGCAGGGGATAACGTTCTAGGCTGTTGGTATCAGACCCTTGAGAAGGAACAATGCAGGTCGCCTTGGAACGGTTAATGAATCATGAACCTAAGGCACCTGACACAGCAGGACTGCTCTTCTTGTGTTTGGGATCCAACAAACAGAGACAACTTACCTGTAATACAAAGTAAAATCTTGAATACTCGTTAACCAACTGCTGGAAGCAGCAGAGATTCATAAGGCTGGAGATGACCAGGTCATTGTAGGGGGCAGCAAAGTAACCTAGGTGGATCTGTGTGACTCTTGTAAGTAAGAGCAGTGGCAGAAGGGTGCTACCTCTCACTGAATGGTGGGAAAAGAGCAGTCAACTCCTCAGCAATTTATCCCTTTCCACGGAGGGGATAATAAAGGCCCTCAAACTGGTCTAATAAACAAAGTAACTCCCAGTGCTCGGCCCACACAAAGTATGGGCCACAGTTCTGCACCTAGAAAACACTCTGTGGCTACCAAACACAGTACACACAGGTCTGCAAAGCACCACACACAAGAAGAGCCCAGTGCCAAAGTTCACATTGCAGGCAGGCCCCACAATCATACAGTCTAGCGGGGTAAGTGTACAACCTCCAAAGCTATTGCTGAACATACTCCAATCCTGATAGCTGCAAAAACAAACCAGCTCAAGCAGCTTATAGATAAAGTCTTGACTGCAGAAAAAATCTTAAGAAAAAAAACCAATGCATAGTAAAAATGGTTACATTTTTCTCAGTAGACAAAAAGGCATGCTGGGACTTGGAAGGGTTACGCCAGGCTGGATCAAGGTTTTTTTTTTTTTTTCAGCCATTGTCCAAATCCTCCTGTAGTTTACCCAACTGTCTGTAAATCTTGTGTGCCTTAATGAAGGGGACATTTCTACTAGCTAACAATATGTTTTCCACTCATTTCATGGTGCAGTTTTGAGGTTTGAAATATTAGATACGGTATCTATTTGCTCAATGCAACCTCATCTTTCATATTTTACAAAAAACTTGGATATTCTATTGTGTTTGTGTACACTAAAATTAATTTGAAGGGATTTTTAGTGAACACTTGGGTTTGATAACCTGCTGTGCTTATATTGTCAAATAAAAAAAATGTAATTGCCAGCAATTCTATTTTTCAGGCTCTCTGCTTTCAGAAAATATATAGTTTAGGGGGGATTTACGCAATTTCAGGCCTAAAATGTGCATTTTGACATGTGCAAATAATACAAAAACAGTACTGGCAGCAAAAGGGTTAAAATACAGATAAAAGGTAATAACAAACCTAGGTACTACCTTACTGATCTACTATTGACTTGAATAATCCAGGTCAACTAGAAACTACTGTTTTAGATGCAAATAAAGTTGTAAGTGTGATGTGAGCTTAGAAAGATATACTGATTCATGCACCCACCATCCTATTTAAAGACACTTTCATTAACCACTGTTCATATGCTCTCAGCAACACTATTACCTGAAACGGATGCAGGAAGAATGGCTTGACCAACCAGTCCCTGCTGAAGCAAACTTTGATCAAATTGGCTTGAAAGCACCGAGCTGTTTGTGATGAAGACGCTAGGGTCTGTAGCAGATGTGTTCAGCAGGTTGATTGGCTGAAGAGATTCCACTGTGCTGGAAGTTGTACTGGGTGCAGAGACTGTAGCTTGAGGAAGGTGTCTGCGCCCCACTGGTTTCCTGACCTTTTTAGCATCTGATTTATAATGGCACTGTATGTGAGTTTTCCTGCGGCCAGATGTCCGAAAGCGCATGTCACAATGAGGACATTTAAAAGGCTTTGCACCAGTGTGCAGGCGCATGTGTACTTTAAGACTGCCTTTAGTAGAGAAGGAATTAGTGCAGACATGACAGTTGAAGAGTTTTTGACCTGTAAAACAATGTACAGAAATGAATAAAGAAAAAATAAAAAGCTTAGTACATTGCTCATTTTAAAGGTGCCCATACCCTGTACGATTATCGTATGATAATCGCGGGAAATCCCACTATCGTACGATAATCGCAAAGTGTATGGAAGGCGTGCGACCGTTTCTACTGTACGATCGCACGTCTTCCGTCTAACAAGCAGGTTTGAAAACACGCCGAGAATCGTACGATTCTCGGCACGTTAGTGGCGTGCTTGTTCAACAACTGCCGAACGGGCCGGTGTGCGCCCGGGCACACTGCCCGTTTAGCATTGCAGTCATGGGAAGCCCGACCCTCAGCGGGGCGAGCTTGCAATGATCGCAAGTACGATCTGCCTGTCCATGATGCCCAGATCGTACGTTTTTTTAATTACTGTACAACCCTGGCAAGACAAAAGTGTATGGCCAGCTTTATATTGCTTACACAGCATTCCACACCTGCCAATCACTTAGTTCACCTGCTGCTGGCAATTATAACAGATTCATAGGGAAAGCAAGATGAATGAGTTGCTGGTTTATTATTTTCATTATGTTGATACTCATTGCCAGTGGAAAAAAACAGAAATTAAAAACGACAAAATTTTAACAGCATACTTGTCAAAATCCTTTAAAAATGTAGCTTACATTACGAGATCAAAGGCAATGTATATGATTTTGATATAAAATGGATGTTTAGCTTAATATTATTGTCGCCTATGTCAAAAACACTAACTTTTGAAATATGATACCCAATAAAGCATAGGAATGAAACCCTAATAGAACAAGCTGCACTCTAAAGGTCTTCACCAAAAGTAAAATTATTTATTTATGGAGAAAATACATACTGCATAGTTCCTCCCCATGTAGGCGCAACGTGTTTCACCATTCCGGCTTACTCATAGAGATAGTGTCAGTTCGGATTTAAATGCTAACTTCTCCCCTACAGAGGTGTAAATCAGACTGCATAGCTCCAGTTCGCCTCGTTAACTGCTACAGTGTTGGCATCACCGCTGCTAAAGGACAGATGCATCAAACATTACATAATCAGCAGTCCTTCTATAACGCTGGGTTCACACCTGGGCGTTCGTAATATGCGCGTTTGACGCACGTTTTTACCGCGATTTGTTGTCCACGAAACGCGCGTTTACGAAAGCTATCTGGCTGTATCCTAATGGACACGAGCGGAAATACGTCCCAAAAGAAGCTCCTGTACTAGTTCGGGCGTAGGGCGCTTTTCAGCGCGTCAAAACGCGCTGAAATATGCCCAGGTGGGAACTATGCCCGTAGGAAATGATGGGATTTCACTGCTTGAGCGGTTTTCAGCGCTTCGATCATCGCTGAAAAACACCCAGGTGTGAACCCAGCCTTGAGGGCTAGTTCACACCAAGCACGGAGCACATGCAGAGCAGTTACAGAATGGATCAAAACTGCGTCCAATGTATTCTAATGGTATTTAGGGCTCTAGTTCACACAGCAGCGTTCAGTTTCAGAGCATGTAAAAAAAACTGCAGCAAGCCCTATTTTTCCTGCTCCGGAATGCATGCAAACGCATCAAAAACTTATGCAAACAACCTGGAACACACTGAAAGCCCATTTTAGGCTAACCCCCCCCCCCCCCCCCCCAAAAAAAGGGCTGAAACACGTCAAAAACACTGCACGTGCAGAAACTCATCCAGATCTGGTCTGCATTTGGTGTGAACAAGCCCTGAAGCTTCTATCAAAAGTTAGCATCGCGGCAGAACACACATTTAGTAACAAATAACGACAATTTATAAACCATCATGAACTCATGATATAATATACATTAAACATGATATACTCTATTTTTATGAGCAAGCTGGAATCGTGAGACGTGTTGAACATACAGAAGGAGGAACTCTAAAGTATGGATTTGCTCCATAAAGATTTTTACTTCTGGTGAAGACCCTTGGAGTGCAACGATTTCTGGATTTAGCTGTCTAAGGCGATGGTGTGCTTGTTTGCCTGCACTTGGGATGCAATCACAGTGCAAGCCGGTTTGGGAATCTTATTGGTGTTTGTTGTGGATTATCTATGTAATAGAACAATTATTTTTCTAAATGGATTGTTGTCCCTGTTCATAAAAATAGGCAGGTCACAGGAAAATGTAAACATTAGAACATGGACAATGTGGTTGAAGTCGGAAGTCCATATATTTAAAGAATCAATTTTCCGAACTATAAAGAATCATTTGTCTAAGTAACAGGAGCTTGCTGCTTTAAAGTCTTTATCAAAAGATTGTCTGACGTGATCCTAAATTGTTGTTGCACTTATCTGATCCTAATTCCAACACGTATATCACAATTACATACAGTTCACTTTGTTCTTGGTCTAGAAATCCTTAAAAGGTATATATCAGAAACATTTTGGAACTCTACTTCATTAAAACCGAAGTCCATTACATCGGCTCGTAGCAGCGCATTTGTGTTGCGCTAAGCCTCTTAGCTAGGTAATGGCATCAAAGTCAATGTTCTTTTTTAATAGTAGCACTTTTCCAAAGCCTTCTAACCTTTTGCTGCCTGTGCCTCTAATCGACTTCATCAACGATTTGTTTTATTCAAATAAAAAAAAGGAATCAAGAGACAAAAACAATTCTCCAATTTAAGTTTTTCCTTCACGTTTTCAGTTGAAATGTTAGTCTGCACAGCATTGTGTTACTGCGTACTAGCTGGAACTTCACAAAAGAGTACAACCTTTTACTGAACTATGAAGGCAGCACTCTTAGAATATACATTGCTGTTTGTCACTGCTAAACCTAACTGAAGAAAGCAGGAATCTATACATGTTTCAGACAAACACAAACTGACGTTGATTTATAAAAAGATGCAGCAAAGACAAACTGTGCAAGGCTAGAGCTACTGCCCGTATTAACCCATAAGGTTCCAGCTTTTAATGAGTACTGAATCTGGTTGCTATGGAAATCAGTATAATTGTGTTCATACTGCAGATGGCTTCAACATTGTCACACTTCCCTGTGCGATGATCCAACACCAGGGTTTGCCTCCTGTCCGAGCTGCTCGGCTTCCTGCCAATCCGCTCTGAATCTCTCTGTTAAAAGACCAGCTCACTTGTTGCTCGGCGTTCCAGCAACATGTCTTCAAACTACAGCCGGAACTCTTTGTCACTTTTAAGTTGTTTCTTTGGATCCCTGCAAACTTTTATGTACCTTTGATTACTGGGCCCTGTGATCCTGTACTTCCAGCAAGTGGATTGTTTTCTAAACCTCAGTGAACTTGTGCACCTGTGATTACTTGCGAGTCTCAGTTCTCCTCCTGTGGCTGCTTGAACATTCAACCTGCTTCTCCTGAGTGCTCTGCCAGCCGTTCCATCACAGGTCCACTGCTGTTTAACAGCGCTCCTATTACTTTAGTTGTAATTAGTCACCTGTGTCTGTACAGATGTGCTAGAGGGCTGTAACCGGGAAGGTGTCCGACAGCGCAATCATCCTCACCGTTGGAGGCTCTGTGGAAGACCCGGCGCTTCTTAGATTCTGCGCTTCTAGTGTGTCTACACTAACACACAGACACCTACTCCCTGTGTGCTCTGTGATCTGCATACCAGGTACCCTTTTTGCTCACTACTTTCATCCGCATCTGGAGGCGTGGCAGGAGAACAGACACTGCTGCGCTAGGAGAGAGCTGAGGAGGACTCTCACCTTGCACAGCGACCCACAGGTTGAGAACAACTGCTATAGGTAAAGACAGGACCTGGCTCTGCAGCTGGAACTAGAAGAATTGGATTTAAAGTGTGTGGCTATATAACGTATGAGGTACATACTCCGCAGTACTGTCACTGATAGGGATGGGCTCAGGCGTGTTCGCAGCTCCACGTGCTGAGTCCGCCAGGAAGCTGACAGTGCGCAGTGCCAATCACAGGCACTGAGACATTTCCCGATCTCTGCAGCTGCAGACCGGGAAAATGGAATGCATAGCTAGAAGTGTGTTTTACATATTTTTTTGCTTGAATACATACATATTGCACCCGCCCTCTGCTGCTGTCAATCACTAAAAGGGGACCTGATGGAGAACTTCAGGTCCCCCTCTGCTGATTGGCAGCATCAGAGGGTGGATGCAATAGCTAGTTTGCTATTGGCTTTTTCAAAGTGAAATAGCAAATAGGAATCTAGCTATGCATTCCTATGGTGGTTTTTTTTTTTCTGACTCACGGCGGCCCTTGATTAAAAAAAAAAAACCAGAGCACAGAAAGGTCCTGACCTTTCCGTGAGAAAGTGTCTCTCTCTCGGCGGCTGAGAGCCACTAGGCAACCCCTGGCAAACCGTCATTCGACCCCCGAGGGGGTCCCGACCCACAGGTTGAGAACCACTTTAGCGCAACCTCATCTTTTATATTTTACCAAAAATTGGGTATTATATTGTGCTTGTGTGCGCTAAAGTTGATTACAATGCATTTTCTATGGAAAATTTGGGTTTGATAAACTGTTGTGCTAATATCATGTAACATTAACAAAAATTGCAATTGCCACCATTTTAATCTACAGGGTCTTTGCTTTCAGATATTCATTTTGGGGCCTTTAATCAATTTTAAGCAGAAACATGGAGAATCATGTGTAAAAGCAGTACTACTGGAATCAGTTGCATGCCATCTGATCTTTGATACAAGGTACCTTATAAGTCCCATATAAGCTTATTTTTTATGTTTTCATTTTCAAAGTGTCTTGATGGTTCATCATAACAACCAGATTCTTCCACACTGCACTGAGAGAATTAAAAGGATAATCTCTTTACTCTTTGGGGTTAATTTACTAAGGTAAATAAGCTGTTTACTTTGCAAGATAATTTTGTCTTAGCTCGTTGAATGTGGTGCAAATGCACTTTGCAAAGAATTATGTGCAAGGAAAAAAAAAACAACACATATTTTTGCTTGGAAATGATTGGATGATTTAAGACTGCAGAGCTTCATTTCATTTATAAAGCAAAGGGAAAATTGCCTTGCAAAGTGAACATCCTATTTGCCTTTAGTAAATAAACCCCAATATGTGCATCCAGCATGGCTCCTTATTTACTGTATACTTTTGATAAATATGGCTTATAGTTTCCTGTCCAGAATCAGCTCTGTTCTTACCTTGTCAGTTCATATTATGAAAAGGAAACGGGAGCTAGAAGCCAGCTAATGCTACTGTTCCTCATTATGCACGCTTTCACCTTTACAAGCTTCAAAACAAACTTCTAAACACAGCTTGACTCCTTCTAAAATGACTTTTTCTGACACTCTTCGCCTGCTATTATTAATAAACCTCTTCAAACCATCAGGGACAGTCACTATGACAGAATCTGTTTTATCACCTATTCCCCCTACTCATTTTAGGGCTGAAAAAAGGAAAGTGTTATGGAAGAAATAAAAAAACGGCAACATGTTTATTCTTGTAAGACATCCTGCTGCATGTCTCATATACTCAGCAAACAATACAATAACATGCTTATTTACTAACCTCCATGAGTTTTCACATGGGAATCCAGTGTTGACTTAACTGTAAAGCTCTTTCCACACTCTTCACATTTGAATGGTTTTTCCCCTGTGTGGATACGTATATGTCTGCAAAGACATAGATACAATTTATATAGCTATTCTTTGGTTACTATTTATGTGTTCAAATAATAGGATGTTTTTGTACTCAACATAAAGTCCTTTTCTCTGCGTTCATTAAGGGACACAGCAGATATCTTGATCTCAAACTGATGATTACACCACCACCTGAAGGATTAGGACACTATGCACACAAAAAAGCACAGCCCAGGGGTGGTCCAAGCCCCCATCTGTAAGGCAACTCAATTATTCACAAAGCAATAGAAACAGAGGCACAGACAACCACCAGAGGAGAGGGTGATGTGTCCTCCAATGAACAAAGATAAAAGGAGGTTACTGTGAGTAAAGAAAATCCTAATTTCTCTTTCCTTCATTTAGGGACACAGCAGAGAGTCTACTAAGGGGTGGGAAAACAAAAACACAAGAATAACCTAAAAAAGAGAAACACCCTGCAAAAACAAAAACATGGGAAAGTTAGAAACCCAATAGGGAGCTAGGTTCATACTCCCAAAGGCTAGGCAAAAAATAGAGCTTTCTCTAGCAGATGGGGCATTTGACCTGTGGGCTGTGCTTTGTTTTTTTGTTGTGCATATTGGCCTACTCCTGCAGATGGCATTATATTTCATAGGTTTGTGTTTAAGATCTCTGCTGTGGCTTTCAATGAACAGAAGAAAAAAGGTTATTTATCAAAACATAAAACTAGATACAGGTCATGTTCAAAGCCTTAATGTTTTTTTTAATATTCAGTTTATAATATTACATTGATCAGAACAGTCTAAGCTGGTGTACAGTAAATGTATAAACTGAAGCAGCAAGAAAATACAAAATTCTAGATGTACCACTCAAAATGGTTTATTATCACATTGTTACCCAATCAGATGCATCCATAAAAACCCTAATGCTGGTCATACACATGGCAATTTCCAAGCAGGTACTACCACTTTCAATAAACTGTTGAATGCAAAAAATGACTAAATAGTTTAAAGCAACTGTTGCTCAACATTGTTAACTGTATTAAAGTGTATGTAGACGCCAACAATGAGCCTCTCCTATTTGCTCCCTTTTGGTCTGCTCCATATATTATTCATATTGTTCTGTTATATCTGCTCATAAAGTGCAAAACATATCTGTTGATTTTGCAAACAATCTTGCAAGCTGTTAACTAAATAACAATTAGGTAGGGAGAGCTAACACCATGTGCTCAGGAATTCAGAACTGTGTTATCATGTCTGTAGGCAAGGTAAGAGCATAATATGTATCTATCTAGGCTGCATTAAAGGAACAACCAAACCTGAAGCACCCTGGTCCAATTGATTCCATGATTGGATCATATAATGAAGTATAGATCAGATTATCATTTCTATTCTACTCCCCTTTATTATTATTTTTTTTGTTCCCAGTATACAGCTACATGACCAAAAAAACAAACAAATACTTGCATACAAAAAACTGGAGGAAATGAGAGTGTCTGTTTCCCTTAGCTATTTGTGAATCTAGGGTATATTAGAAAATTACATTTTGATGCTATAGGACCCAGGCCAGTGCAACCAGTGCACGGCCATAGAATAAGAAACTTTGATTCCTATTTCCCCCCATGATCCAATATAAAAGAATGGGTAAAGTTATGAGACAGCTGATTTAAAAGCAATGAAAGGACAAGCCCTGAAAGCTGCAACCTGAAATATTTAGCTTGGTAAATATACCTATTAAGGAAACTGTATTGATATTTGTTCCAATGTAAAACTCTAAAAACACCCTACTTAGATTCTTATCATAACATTACTTGAAATGGATGCACACAATAATCTATTCAAAACATGCTCTAAGCAATTGTGTTTTCAAAAATGAAATTTTAGATCCATTTGCTTCATGCATATCATCAAGCATACCAGGCATCATATTTATTTTCCGAGTAACAGCGATCGGATCAGATGAAGATGCAATCAAAAATGACTACTGCAAAATTATGTGACATAAATATATTATAATATCATGTATTGTGTAAATTGTTTTTGAGTGCAATTCCAATTTCTAAAATGGTAAACACAAATCCATAAAAAAATAATAGAACATGAAATTATTCTTTATACAAAGTCGATGTGACTTCAATGTGACTTCAATTATGGGCTTCAGGACAGGTCACAATGTTTGAAATGCTTTTGAGTTTTCTGAAAGCTGTGGCCACCATGCAGCTACACTTCATGTACTTGTAAGTTTAACTTTTAAGTGTTGGTTGATCAAAAATAACTTTAATATTATAATATTATATTGTATATATAATTGTATTATTTGTTTTCTCTTTTTATTTCTATTCACACCGATGTATCAACATGCTCCTTGGACTCCAGCACACATGATTGGCTTATTGTGCTGCTTTTATTTCCCCAGACTAAGCACTACATGAAGCTGAGACCAAGTCAAATTCAGGTCCAAATAAATAGGGCTGCATTATTGTGTGTATTTTATGTGTGTTCAGCTTTAAGCAACTGCGTGACAATCCATATAAAATATGCGGTATTCAAACAGCTTTATTCAGAAGGGGTTTAAGTGTTTTACTTATACTGTGATTATATACAATCTTCAGGTGATGACTGCATTAAAGATGTAGTAAAACACACACAGATATAAATGTTTGATCCTTATGATCAAACATTTATATCACTTCATTCTCCTGTTCACTCCTGCTACCAGGCTCTTAAAAAAAAATAAACTTGTGACCACTCTTTTAACCCCCTTATGACCATTGGTCATAAAAGACTAGATGTCAAGACTAAATTTAGCAGCTTCAGTATGCATAGGTTAAGTTCACAATGACTCTGACTATTTTTTTAACCTAATTTTTGTTTCTTTAAATACATATAAGGCTTTAATTTGTTACAATGTTTTTAAAACTACCCTGCTTAAGTTTTCTAATATACGCTGACAAATGGATAAATCTACTTTTTTAGCTATTTTCCACATCAACAACTCAATAACAACAACAATACAACAATAACACAACTGATATTATTTGTATCATTGTATTTTAAAGGAGAACTATGAGGTGTAGTGCTTTTCACTCACCTTATAGTTCTAGCCGACCTGTGACAATGAGACTGTCACAGGTCGGCTCAGTAGATCGGGAGGTGAGCGAACACATACCGGGTTAGCTCGCCTCTCGATCCTGTCACGGCTCTCTGCCGTGACAGGGGGAGGGGCTGGATTCCCCTCTCCCCGCTCCGATCTGCCAGCGCTGACTGGCGGAACGGACGGGGGAGGGGGCGGGTACAGCTGGCTCTGCCTCTAGATAGGCAGAGCCAGCTGTCACTCACGCAGCTGGGCGGATCCCGTCATCTAAGTCGTGATCCGCTCCGGCTGAGGCGTCTACAGCTCATGGTATACTGAGCTTAGGGTAACGGGAGGACGCTAGTTTGTGTCCTCCCGTTACCCTAAGGAGAACTATGGGGAAAAACACTGACCCCATAGTTCTCCTTTAAAGGCTCAGTGTCATCTGCAGGCCGGAGAAGGTAATTTATAAAGAAAAAAAAAACTAAAGCTCGTTTGTGATCACGATGATTGACTGTTATGGTGGTCATGTGATTGGGAACCACACATATTGATTCTTTATCTTGGCTCTCAATCAGAACAATGTAGAGTGAAGTTCCCCAGTACAAGGAACGGTTCCTGAGAACAATAATCTACAGATTGCAGGTGTGAAGGGCATTTAAGCTCCACAGCCATTTTCCTTTATGTGCCATTAGTTTATTAATTTTTGGGGGGCAAACAAGGCTTTCTCTGGGTGGTATTGTTTTCCAAAGAGTTAAATAGGAAAGAAGTTTATTTGTGGTAAATTGTTTTTCCTTCTTTCCAGTTTGCTGCAGCACCATGAGTAAAATATAATACATTTTAATTTATATTTTAATAAGCACTGAAGCTGTAACACTTAGGGCCTGTTCACACCACTTACAGTGCGATCCAGCAGCTAAGCATGCTGGAGCGCACTGGATCGCATAGTGTGAAGGCTTCTTGCGTTCTGGGGTGGGAGGGGAGGCAATGCAATCAAGTCAATGGACCAGCAGCCACGCTCTGCGATCGCCTGCATCAGAATGCATGGGCACATCGATGCCTGCATTGTGGTCCAGTGCGATCGCAAAAAATAGTACAAGCACTATTTTTTGTGATTGCACTGGACCGAAATGCAGGCATTAATATGCCACGCATTCTGATTTGGGTAATCAAACTATAGGCGGGAGGGGGTGGAGGCGTGGCTGCGGTGCCATTGACTTGAATGCACCGCTACGCCACCTTCCACCCCAGAACGCAGGGAGCCGGCCAGGATGCAATCCAGTGCTTTTCAGCAGCTAACTGGGCTGGAACGCACTGGAGATGGTGTGAACCGGCCCTTTGAGGCAAAGTTTCTGACAATAGCTCATCTACATAGACTGCAACCTCCTCAATCAAGTCACTACAGGTCGCAGCAGCTACACCCACAGTACAGGACTCTACAACATGCAAAGAACTTCATAGGTCCTTAACTGATTAAAGTGACACTACATTCAGGAGTTAAATCTTAAAAATGCATTCAAGTACCCTAACTATTAACAACAATGTAACTTATTTGTGCATCACTCGGCTGTAGATCCTCATATCATCCTTGAATTCATGCTGACACTATCCTTCCTTCTGGAGGGTGTCTACTTTTGTTCCCCATGGTCCTTGTGTGTGTTGTAAAGTAGCCACCACTCCAAGCTCACTCCCCTGATAGCCTATATCTTCAATACAAATTAGTAAACTAAATATGAGATTGTAGTCTGTCACAGGCGTGAGCTTGGAGCGGTAGCTACTTTACAACACACACAGGGACCATGGGGAACAAAAGTAGCCACCCTCCAGAAGGAAGGACAGTGTTAGCACCAATTCAGAGATGATTTGACGAGAGATCAGAGGATCTACAGCTGAGTGGTGCACAAATAAGGTGCAGTGTTGTTAATAGTTAAGGTACTTAAATACATTTTTAAAATTTAACTTGTGAGCTTAATGTCACTTTAAAGAAAATAATTTATATCACTTACAGGTAATAGAATATTGTACTTTGCAAACTTCTTTTTTTAAATGAAACTTTAGAAAACAAGTTGAGAAAAAAATCAGGCAGAGAAATTCTGCATAGAAGTCACCAATCAGTGGCCAGGCTGTGGTTGCCTACCTAAACCCATTCAAATGTGAGCTCAGCATTTTCTTTCATGTTAATGTGAGAACTTCAGCTTCCTCCAAGATCTTGCAGCATCGCCTAGATCGGCTTTAGGCTGTGGGAGTGGTTAAGTCGTTCCATCAAATTATGTCATTGCTACCCCCATGCGTATGAGTGGAAGAAGCAATCTAGCAGATGTTCACTGTTCTCAAATTTGTACTTCTTAAACCCTAGCTCTAGCCTAAACTTTTTTTTGTTTTGGACAGACTTAGAAAAAGTAAATACTTTTGTCAAAATTGTACTGTCCAAGATACCAATGGAGGAATTTCCCAATAACGTTTTCCTAAGGGAAGTGAGGGAACATCTCCCTAATGGGGACAAAGACTGAAATATAAACTTGGCAGGGGTTCTATGCCTGCCCACTATCCAAAACTAAAAAAATGGCTAGAGGTGGACTTTATACATAAATAATAATTAACGTTTTCACAGAGTTTGAAACTCAACTCTTTTTTTTTTTTTTTAACACTGAAATAAAATATAACTAAAAAAAAATAAAAAGACAGACTCTTCTTTCATGATTAATTTGGGAACAAATTAACTAAGGGATGCAATAAATATACGCAAACCCAGACTGTTCTGCTGACACTAGAATTCTATAATGACACTGTGCATCATTTTTAAATGCCAAAATGACTTTGCAGATATCAGCAGGCATATTCACGAAGCCATGTAGGCATATCTGTCATTAGGCAGGACTAATTTGCATTTAGCATATCTTGTCTTTGGATAGAAAAATACGCTAAGCTCAACTGGTGCACATCACTGGAAAACCATTCAGACGTCAAGTTACTGCCACGCACACAAGGTTAGCGATTCAATTAGATTGAGATCATGAGATTTTCAATCCAATGCTCTTTATACTCAAACAGAACTGCTGTAGCAAGTGTGCCATCATTCATTTAAATCCATGTAAATATGTGAAATGGGCCTCTAAAGATCTAAAGAAAAACCTTAGCCCAAATCACTTACCTTAAACACTCTTTATTAACCACTACAGTTCTCACATCTCTACATCCCTTATAGATATTTCTGCTATTGGCCTGTTTTTTTCGGCAATAACTTTGTCATTACTAAAGATAAAGTAATACGCAGATTATTTTTAGGACAAACACATATTTCTTTTGGTGATATTGTCTCACAAACGGGGTCAACAGGAGGAGCTACATGGGAGACACACTGCACAATGGTCTTAATGAAAGAATGGGAAGCCAGCAGTCTTTAGAACCCTTAATGGTGCCAAGAGCCAAACGCTGGTCCAGGTCCAGCTGTAAGAAGGAGTGGAGTTTGCCCTTGAAGAATTTCCTGGGGTGAAAGCCTCTTGCCTTGCACTAAGCGAAGCATGCCTTCTAAGTACGTTGATAGATCTTGAGGAAAGACACACTAGCATTTAGCATCACATGGATCACCAATTCAGATATGCCTCTGCCTTCCAGACAAAAAGTAGCTAAAACAGACAAAGCAAAAATCACTCCCTCAAATTGGTTTAGTTTGGGAACTGTGAACAGTTTAGAATCGAATTCTACAACTGTTCTGCCACAAGAACTGGGGTAATTCTTCCCTGCTCCAGAAGACCCGTCAGAGCTGCAGGAAATATGTTAATCTGTTCGGTTGGAAGTAATGAAACAGGGAGGGGGATGGGAGGGAAACTTTAGCGTGTAGACCCTGGAAACCACCTCCCTCACATAAACATCTGAGATGTAGCTTGTCCAAATGTCCGTAAAGGCTAATTGACATCTCCCCACTTTGGAAAATGGTGTGCCCCAATAATAAAGATGATTAATCCAAGGGTTTGGAGGACTTGGAAGTTCCAGACTTGCAGGTGGACTGAGTGCCAGACTTCCACTGTCATTTTCATAGTCAGAATTCACTGGCAAGTGAGTCAGACTGAGTGGAAGGATAGGGCGTACTATACATGCGAGTGCACTTTTGATGACATATCTTACCCAGGCTCCACATCTGGTTAAGATACAATAACCTTAGTAATGCTTCCAGTTATTTTCCAAAATGTCACCCAAGTCCTCCTAACTGTAGTCAATCAGCCCACATCACTGCCCCTCAGAATCTAGCTCCAGTACTCAATTATGTTAACGTCTATACCACAATTGTCAATGTCAATTATTATTATTTATTTAAGGAGAGACCATCATTCTTTCTAAAAGGGCTCATTCACACCAGCTGCATTGGGCCGTGTTGCTCAATGCAGCTTAAACACAAGGACAAGTAAAAAATGCCATGGGACATGCATAATGGAAAATAAAAAGCAATTTATCTTATAACCGCTTGCCGATCATGGCCATTCCTGAACGGCCGGATGGCAGCCTTATATGAGCGGGAGGGCGTCCTAAGATGCCCTTTCCCTCCCCCCGCTCGTGTGCGGCGCTCAGCGCACACACAAGTGGGGAAACTTAGGGGTCTTGGAGACCCCTGATGTCTCCATAAAGAGGACCTGTTATTTGAATTGGCTATAACATAGGGTTTTTTTTAGCCCCCTATGTGATAGCAATAAAATGTAAAATAACAAAAACAATTTAAAGTCCCCCACCCCCCCCACATACACACACAAACATGCGTCGGGTGCGCCTATTTGCGAAAACGACGATTGCGCCGCACGTGTTACATATCGCCACAAATGTCGGAGTGAGAGCAATAATTCTAGGCCATTCATTACTGATAACACAAAAAAAAAACAACACGCGTAAAAATGCATTGCAATGAACTCAAAAACAAACCACAACACACCTCATCAGGGCATGTAAATATACTGTATGCTGTGGTGTGAATGGACTCTAAAGCATTTGTCCATGCATACATAAAAGGATAACAAAATGCAGCAAATGGTGTATACCTAATCAAGTCACTGGGCTTCTTAAAGCTTTTGGGACAGAAATTGCAACAGTTTGCAAACTTGGGTTCAGTTTCCATCTCTGCCTGTTTGTCTTTGATCTCACTTATACGATCTTTCTCTGCTGCTGACTGCACCAGCACCTTCTCAGAAATAGTGGCTCCCTCTCTAGGCCGAATTTTTGCCAGTTCAGCGGTCTCTTCCTCTGTGAAAGTAATGACACCATGGCGGGACTTTCTTGATGCTAGTCTCTCTGCATTCTCCTCGTCTTCCTCAAGACATACATCTCCTGTTATAAAAAAAGCAGCAGTTTTGCATTTGCACTTGTTAGGATAATGCCCAGTGGATCACTTAAAAAATGAAGTACAAATCTGCATTATGCCTAAATAGTATGTAATAAAAACACAAACTGGAAAAAAAGAAAACCTATATATAAAAACACAAACAAAAATAGTTTCTTTAATTTGAAACAAAGAAAGATGTAGCAAGAGAGACTTTATGTAACAGCAAGGCTTAGCCTGACAATCATTCTTGCTACTGGCAACTAATGGGGAAACGCCAGACACACAAATTCTCACTTTTTTAAGTGGTTAGCTAAAAATTCCTAGTTCTGCAAATATATCTGAATTCAAATCGAAACAAATGCAGATTTGTGTGTATTTAAAGTAACTTGGGACATAAGAAGCCTGCTACTAGGAGGATATATTTTTGAAAAATTGGAAACTAAAATGTCAATATAATTTTTCCATAACCGCATGAGTCACAAGAAAATGAAAAAGAAAAAAGGAACAGTTAATATGCTGCACTACAGGATTGAGAAAATACTTCTCTACTATTGTTGAACATTTCTGCCCTATCTCTTACTATCTATCTGCTCTATATATATATATATATACACACACACATATACATATATACTACAAATAGAGATGTTTCCATTAGAAACCAATTTTCTTTTGTGCAAAATATTAGAAAATAAATGCAAAAGCTTGAATGGTTGCTAATGGCAGTAGCTGTGGTTTACCTTTGGTTTAGCAGTATTGCTACAGGGGTAGCAGAAATAGAAAATGCCTCGAATCACATGATTACTGGAGGCACCACCTCCAGCTCTGAATCAACAATGATAATGTCTTTCACTTCAGTTATCAGGTAAACTAAGGGGCTTTTTTACAATGGAGAGCAGATAGTAGCTTTCTGGCCAATCAGCATGGAGCCGGCTTCCCAGGCAATCAAGAAGCCGAGCAGGGGGGAATGACACAGCATGGGTACTCGGCGAGTACCAATCACTAAAGCTTTAATGTCTTTATCCTGAAAATATCCTTTTTTAAGAAAAATACTGTAGTTTTTGCAATTTGCATCTTCATATGGAGCACATCCTAATTGATTGCTGTTTGGTGGCTGTAAATAACTGATTTTCTAATAGAACTGTTAAAGTAACCTGCAGTCCAAAGATACATGATGACTTTTTCATCAATACTGAACGTACATTGTCAAATATATCATTTTAGAGTTGAATGTATTAGCCTGCTTAAAACGTGTAGATGATTGTTATCGGCTTTACTGCGACCTTGTTTATACTGAGTGCATACCAAGAAAAAGAACATCTTTACCACTTTAACAGTCATTTTATTTAATTTGAATAAAAGACATGACTGTAAGCAGAAGCACTTTTTTTGCATGCCTTATGAGCTAAGATGAACTGTAAAATGCATACATCAGTTAAAGTGTAACATGCTTACAAGCTATATATATATATTGTTTTTTTAAGGTGCTGATTTATAAATCTTCTGTCCAGCATATAGCACAGCACCACTGCCAATAGATGAAGCCAAGGAGTATAGACAGTTCCCATGCTCATCAGTACCATCTAGTGGTGGCAGTGCCAGTAAATAGTATTCACCCAGCTATAAGCTGGGCAGAAGATTTATAAGCCAGCCCCCTAAGTGTATGCCTGGGAAAAAAACCAAAAACTTATGCAGTACATCTTTGCAAAACATCCCTGCCATACATGCACTTTTGCCCATGTTTTATCACTTTGACACTCTATAATTACAGAGAAATTCCTGTTAACCTGCCAGAAATCCAGAGTGTTCCTAACTGCCTGTAGTGAGCTGACAACACAGTGTCTTTGCTGCACTGAAATACCAGCTAGTTTTGTTAGCCCTGTCCAGTTCTTTTCTGATCTCCATACCATATGGAGGTGGTGTCCTGTAGTCCAGCAGGGAAGAAATTGGCAGGGCTGATAACACAGTTTGGGATTTCAGTACAGCTCACTAAAGGAAATCATCAGACAAGTGCATTTCCGGCAGGATCAACAGGTTTATTAATGTACTTGCAGCATGTTCAAGAGACAAGGCACAACATGGGGAAATGTGTATGTATTGCAGAGATGTACTGAATATGATTTTGTTGCTATGACAAACAATTCAAATCACTTTACCTTTGGACATAATTAACTCATGAGAGTACCCATCTTATTCAGAAAGAAAATAAATGGATAAAGCACCAAAAACAACTGTCAAAACTGTAGTAAAGGAAACAGTGGAGATGTTGCCTATTGTAACCAACTGGACTCCAACTGTCCAGTGTAAAGCTGGCCAAGCACCTATAGATTTTCTATAGATCAGCCTATGGTCAGATGGAAAAAGTGCAACAGATTCCTCCATCTACGCTAAACTGTGTGGATGGAGGAATCTCCCACTGGGCCAAGCTTCAGTATCTTGCTAGTCAGCCCCGCTGGCTCTTTTAGAATACCTGAACAATGCCTGCATCCAATCAGATTGTTCAGGTATTTTGACAGCCAGTGGGGCCAACTAGCAAGATCCTGAAGCTTGACCCAGTGGGAGATTCTTCCATCCACACAGTTTAGCGTAGATGGAAGAATCTGTTGCACTTTTTCCATTTGACCATAGAAAATCTGCATATAATCTATAGGTGTATGGCCAGCTTTAGCTTACATAATTGCTATGGCTAAACTATCCCCTTGTTCTGCAGTGATCAGATATCCACACCATTCACAATTACTGCCAACCAACCACCATGGCCATTACAAAGTCAAGGTTTGGTGTCACATTCTGAATTGATCTGCATAAAATCGAATATGCAAGTTATTGTGGAATTTAGCTTTAAGAGAGCAATGCCGACCCTGTGTGCTCTGCCAGAGAAACAAAGCGTCATGGAAAATGGGCCATGGAAATCTACAGAATACACTAAGACTCTTTGATGCGTTTATATGATCAATATGGGGAGAAAGGGGAGGGAACTAAATCTAATTGTACAGATTTTAATAGGTATCTGACCTGTGAAAAATATTGTGATAGGTCTTTAGCATTCACTTACCTTCTTCTCTTGTGGTCCCATCGCTATCTGACACAAGGCTGGGGGGAATGTTCTGGTGCTTCTTCATGTGTTTTTTACAGTGAACAGTTGTCCTGAATGTCTCATCGCAGAAAGGACACTTGTAGGGTTTCATACTGATATGAGTTGACATGTGCCTTGTCAGGCTGCCATTTGTTGTAAAGGCAGCATTACATATAGTGCAACTGTAAGCTTTAACTCCTGCAGACACATCATGGAACAGAGCATTGAGTAAATAACATATTTTAATCATCACTTAATGATTGAAAACAATTTTATAGTTAATGTACACTTATAGCAATTGTAGTGATTCTTTCATCACAAAGCAATGGATAAAACATTTGTTGCCAAGTTTAAATTAAACAGAACTTGAAGGTTAATCAACCCAAAATTAAAAAATAATTTTAGGGTAGTCACTGTGGAGTTGAACAACAAACTGAACTGTCATATTTCTTACTAAGCCCAGCAGAGTTTCTGATTAATATTTTTTTTTGTCCTGGAGTCTCACATTGTCTGCTGCATAATGCAAGATGGATGAAAACTCCAACAGAGAGTGTGAACCCATTGTTAGGAAGTAGTAGGGGGTAAAGCTAGGAGTTCAGATACAGAGATCTAGCTATCAAAGTTGCCTCTTCTGGGAAGATGAAATAACTACCCCTCCATGGAAAGTGGAAAGAGGTGGGTCAAGCTGAACTATGACAAGAAAAGCCTTCTGATTGTTTTGGTTTTTCAGTGAAGCTAACCAATACTTATGCATGTTGTCATCATATGCTGAATTTGAATTTTTGAAGTATAGAAGTTCTGTTACAAAGGAATCAAACATTTTTACCTTTTTATAGTACGTACAGGGTAGATTGATTTAGAAGGGATGGGTGAGATGTTCATGGCCTGAATCACCCTCTATCACCAGTATTTGCTCAACAGAGATCCAGTTTCTGCTCCTTCCTAGAAACATGTAGTCGTGTCTAAAGCATAAACTGCAGAAGACTCTCTTTTCTCAGTATAATATACAAGGACAAACTTGTCTATGTATATTATAGATTAACTTTCGCTCACAGTTTACACAGGATGCCTTCCCCTGCTCCCGGGAAAGCTGAATGAAGTAGGGAATGAGGTGGGAGGGAAGGTGAATATGTGCTGCTGGACATGGGATTTAAAGTGAACCCACAAAGCACATGTTTATTTTAAAGCGGACCTTTAACCCCTTATGCTAAAAATCACATCAGCATTCAGCTCTGCATGCGGATATGAAATCATCTTACATTGATTGAGTTAAATAAACATATTTTTCTTTTACAAACAATTGTTTTTCCATTCCCTGATCATCTTAGGCATTAGTAATGTAGCCTGTGCCTAAATGATGCATATAGGGAAGGCATTGTTGGGAAACCTCATCTCTAAACTGCATCTCACAAGATCTCAGGGAAAGGCATTTTTTCCCTTGAGATGATGTGCATGGTAACATGTCCTGGTCATGTGTGCCAGAGTTCCAGGAAGTAAATGGAGATTGCCATGGTGTCAAAAATGACCACCTTTGAAGAATGGGAAAGAAAAGAAAAATAAGGTATGCAAAGAATAAAAGCCTGCAATTATCTGTTTGTAAATTGTCAGTACTAAACATTTCTAAAGGTGACTGTTGTCATTTTAAAGATAAAGATTAATACAGTGATGCAGTGCAAAGCACAGGTTCATCTTAAAATTGAATATCCTCTTTAAGGAAAAGTTTACCTGTATGAGTCTTTTCATGTGACTTGAGCACCCCAGATGAGACAAAACCACGACCACACATAGAGCACTTATATGGTTTTTCTCCTGTGTGGGATCGGACATGCTGTTTCAAATGGCTGGACTTTTTGAAACCTTTATTGCAATATTCACATCTATTATAAAAAGATTTTAAAAAAAAAGTAATTACTATTCTTGCTTATAGTAAGAATTTTCACTATAAACCATAAATCACATAACAACTTTTCTTTAACATGATTTATCTAAGCTGGTAGGTGCTGTTTGAGGCAAATAATTTGAGTTTCGATTAATATGGCTTACTTAATACCCTTAGCTTGTATTAGTTGTACTAGCCTGTAAGCACGCCTGCTTTGATCCTCTGTAGACTCAAGAAACGGCGTTCGCTGGGTCTGCAATTCAATTTCTTCTTGTGTTTCTTCCTGAATTAAGCGAGCAGTCTAGTAATTTAAAAAAAAGTGGTTACTTGTACACAGGATAACAAAAAATTGTTAGAATAAAAAGATAAGGAAAAGGGCTATTTACAATATAAATATTATTGGCTCGTTCAGTAAGATAATGCAGACAGCAAAGTGGAAATGGAATACTGTCTGTGGAAAGACAAATTTGTCCATCCTTACGGCCCAACTCCCATTTTGTTAGTTTGCACCCTTGCAGATACATGAATGGCAACTTTCACTGCCAAACTCTCCCGCTCCTCTCCACTGTCTCATTTCATTCCACTGTGAATGCCTGTCCACCACTGCACTTCCGGCCTAAGTGTCACCCAGGTCATCCAACCCTTTCCTCCTGGCATAGACAACCATGGCCTCATCTCCAGTGGTGCTCTTGCCAATGGGAGTTCAATAGCAGTGCACACACACACATCGGTTTGAAGTGTACCTGCCCACAAGATTGCGCTGGAGGGTAACGCTAGAGAGCTGTGACAGGAACGTGCCCGCCAATTTGGAGTGCTTTCATGGGTAAGTGAAATGGGAGATGCAAGTGTTTGTTAGAAATATAAAGGGTGTATAGCAATGTGCAGAGAGAGGAGGGGAGAAGGAAGGTGGGGATGGGAAGGAGAGTGG